AAAGGAGAAAAACAGTTGTTAGGACCAGAATTAGTCCAAGAAACCTCGAGACAAATTCAGATGATAAAGGAAAATCTTGAAAAAGCTCAAAGCAGACAGAAAAGTTATGCTGATAACATGCGTAAACCTTTGTCTTTTGAAGAAGGAGAACATGTCTTTCTTAAACTTTCTCCTACCACAGGTGTAGGCAGAACCCTCAAAGTTAGAAAATTAAGCCCTGAGTATATTGGTCCATTTCAAATACTCCGAAAAATAGGGTCAGTTGCTTACCAACTTGCTCTTCCACCTCATCTTTCTAATCTTCATAATGTTTTTCATGTTTCTCAGCTTAGAACACATGTCTCAGATCCCTCTCATATTCTTAATTTATATTCAGTACAAGTTAAAGAGAATCTAACTATTAAGACCAGAACAATTCAAATTCTGGATAGAAATATGAAGCAACTGAGAAATAAAGAAATTCCATTAATCAAAATATTGTGGGAAGGACTTTCACCATAGGAAACAACGTGGAAAAAAGAAGAAGAATCACGAAAAAAGTATCCAGAATTTTTCTTAACAGGTGCGTCAAAATTTTGAGGACAAAATTTTAATTAGAAGGGAAGAAATGTAATATTAAAAAAAAAAATAATAATAATAAAAATTTGACGCCATTAGTGCCTACATTTGCACAATTGTGGTGCCAACAGACAAAGAAGACAAAAAAAAAGGGACCGACGCGAGTAGCGTCAAAATGACGCCTTTAGCGCCAAAGTGGAGCCTTTAGCGCCAAAGTGGAGCCTTTTGCGCCAAAGTGGCGCCTGATACTGATAGCAACACCGTTCTCGTCAATTTTATGCGAAGCGCGTAAACGTAAAAATATATGTTTATGTATATGTAAAATAATAATAATAATAATTATGATAATAATAATAATAAAAAGAAATAAGTAATTAAATATTAAGATAAATGTGTATAATATATAATATATTAATAATAAAATAAATAATAATAGTATAATAATTGAAATAAATATATGAATATATTATAGAAAGTGAATAAAATGTAAACAGGTAAACATGGAGCCATCTGATAAACGTTTACGAGAATCTTTCTAGAAACGTATTACGAGGTTAGTTATTATCTCAATAGCAATCATTACTTAGTTACAATTTAACTAGTTCGTTCAAAACTAACGAATCTAACTCAAACGTAAGCAGTCTCTTTTATATATATATATATATACGTCGTTACACATAAGAAGAAGAAAGAAAAAAAGGAGACCAGTGAAAAAGAGAGAGAGAGAGAAAGAAAGAAAAAGAAAGGAGGAAAGCGACGAGGCAGTAACGAAGCATAAGGTAATATTGAGAGGTTTAAAAATATTCTCTCGTGTCCTTTTCAATCATTTTGGGAAAACAATGTTTAAGTTTAATACTTCTGTCATCTTACCGAACTCTATTCTTTATATATTGTCTCATTTCCCTTCTTATTTTCAAGCGATATGAATTTTTATGCTACTGTCGTTTTGTTAAATTCTTCTCTTTTAATATTCCTTGAATTTACTTGTTACCGTAGTTTAGTTTTTGATTTCATTCTTCTACGGTTTCTTTATTTTCTTTTAAATTTGTTTTCTGATTGTTAATTTGGGTCGTTATTTGGTACCAAATAATTATGAAGAGAATGTGTATATTTAACTGATGAAGACTGCTATGAACTGAACCACAGAGTTTGGGTTCAGACGATTATAGGGTAAGGGACGTCTTATCGTGGTTTGAGCTCCTCCACAATAAATCTTTCATATGCAGAAGACCACAAAGTTGGGAAATTATTTATCGTCAGTTAAATATTACACAATGTATTATTTATTATATTATTTCATTTTATTAAATTATCTGAGAGAATGGTATTTTCCGTTATTACGGCTGGAAATGGTTATAGTTAGAAAACCTCAATATTACTGAGAATTTTTTCACGTGTGTTTGTTTTGTGCTAACCTTTCCAGAAAATCATAATGCCTAGTCTAAGCTTATCAGGTGAAGGATGGAGTATTAATATTTACTCTTATGAGGACCGCATGGAGTTTTATATCGTAGTAGGAAATCAAGGAGCTGCTTCCATATTCTATGCTGATAGTGTGGAGACCTACACCTATAGGCTACATTAGGATGAGACTTTTGTATTGTATAATTGTGTAATTTCAGTATGTAAGATATAAACTGAACTGATGTAATATTTAGTAGACTTAGGACCTATGTAAAATAACTCCTTTTTGTATTTGACGTAACATTATCTATAAAGTAATGTTGGTAAATGTTTATATAATTTTCTTTACTGTTATTATTATCGATGTGTATTAATTAAACAACATTAACTTCTTACCATCTTATTTCTCACTGACGATGCATAAAGCAAAAATATATATATATATATATATATATATATATATATATATAAGAAATCATGTAATATTCTTTAAAAACATTTGTAGCAAGGGATGTTACACGATCTATGTGTAGGAATCAAATCTTCTCCTATGTAAAAGGAGAAAAGTATTTTCCATGTTATTAACCATATAATTAATTGTAAAGAATTAATTTAATTCAAAAATTCAAGTTATTTCTTTAACATTAATTATAACATTTAGCCAATCACGAGTAAACTAACTAATATACCACATGTAATAATATTCTATGAGAAAAAGAGGCACAACAAAAATTATATTCACATTTTGAAGGACAGTACATTGGAGCTGGTCAGTGTGTCTGTCATTTGACATCATTTGAAGTAGCAATGTTGTTGAATGCAGTATAGTTGGACGATGGTTTTTTTTTTTTTAAGTGAGTGTTTGATAGTTGGGGAAAGTTTTTTCCCCAAGAAAGTGACACTGACTTTTGATTTCTCCATGTTTGATTTTTTTCATATTTAATAGAAGGAAATTTAAAATTTATCGCGAGAATATTACATTCTTGAATTTGAAATAACACATAAACATCTCAACAAAGAATACCATATTGAAAATGTGATATTTCAAGAATCTTAGAGAATGAAAAAATATTGAGTGATTTTTCAGACAAATATATTTCTATATCGCGTTTCCTCATAACTTTTGCGATCACATTTATTCTCACATAAGTTATGGAGGTGATAAAACTTAGTCGAGCATCTCAACAATATCCATTCCTTGATGTTTTTTTATCTTGTTTTGGTCCGCATCCATCCTGTAGTGGTGATGTCATTATTTGTGTACTTCATGTTGCCTGAAACTAAGGGCATCCCAATTGAAGAGATGGGCAAGGTTTGGAGGTCACATCCATAATGGTCTAAATTCAATTTGTTGAGCATGCCGATTTTGGCAATGGAGTTGAGTTGTTTTATCTCCCCCCTCCCTTCTCACACACACAAAACCCAAATTTTCTTTTCCTCGCTCGTGCTTGAAAAAAATGCACTTATGTTTTTTTAATCGTATTTGAAAAGTCCGATATCATGAGTTTAATTTCATAAATTCATCCCATGTTTTCAGTAATATTTTATCGTCAACCAAACATATACTCAAAAAATTTAGTCAATATTCTCGATAATATTTTGACTTATCAAACAATTTTTTAATAACATTATCAAAAAAACTCATTGTTCCATTGTATTCTCAAATATCTCCAAAGGATAATCAACTCTAGAAAAAATAACAATTTTCTGCTAACCCTTCGTTTCACATGCTGCCATTTTTTTTCTCTCCTAATGGGTTCCACTTTGCCTGAATGTAATTTTTTTTTCCGGTCACAAAAAATATAAAACTTTTTTTAATCTTGTATTGTATTATAACATTCAAAAATTTAGAAAAAAATAATTTAAAAATATATAATACAAATTTATATATTATATATAAATTTATGTAAGAAATTTTGATTGTAAGAAATTCTGTTTTTTATTTTTTACATAAATTTTTATTTTCTTTTAGATTTGTATATTTTTTTAAGAGAGAGGAGATTTGTGTTAATTTGAATATTTATTTAATTATTTTCTTAATATTTGGATCACAAATCATATTTATGTTTCTTTTCTGATTTTTTCATATATTTTTTTTAAAAAATTGAAAATCAAAAAACTTGATTTGACTTTTGAATCGTAAAGTATGATACAATATACTATTTGATACTAAAGTAGTGTTTGGTTCGAGAGAAATTTTTTTTTACTAGGGAAACGTAATTGATAGGAAAATGGTTGGAAAGTGAGTTTGATAGGAAAATGTAAAAAAAGTTGTTTGGTTGACCCAAATATTACCAGGAAAATTTATTTAAATATGCAAAATCTATGTTCGGGAGAAACTTTGCACCTGTTTTTTCACTTTCCCAGTCATCTCACAATACCACATCTCAAGTGGTATTCTGTAACAGTGAATTTCATCCAAAAATCAACACAAAAGTCATTTTTCCATCTATCCTATTTGTCTGGTATTTCTTGAAAAAACCTGAACCAAACGTGGTATTTTCCAATATCCACCTACACTTTCTCATCAATCCTAAAATAAACCTTCAACCAAACACTACGTAAGACCAATCCTGATCCAGGCAACTGACACATGTGGCTATGGTATTGTGTGTCGTGTAATTGGGATAACTATACTTGTAAATATGGTTTTGAAGTTTAGTAGAGTGTAAGAGGGTGTTTAGTACAACAATTTTTTTATTTTTATTTTCGAGAATCACGATTTTCAGAAAAATAATGAGAAAGTAAATTTTCTAAAAATATTATCAAAAAGTTGTTTGGTAGACTAACATATTCTCAAAATATTAGGTTAATTTTATTGATGCTGTGTTTAGTTGTATTAAATTTTCCCTTGCCACAGAAATCTTAAAATACCACCTTATGGATGGTATTCTTAGATGGTTTTTTCAAAAATCCTGAAAAAATCAGATTCTTGGTAAAATTTCAAAAATTCTGTACCAAACGATGCATTCTTATTTATCCAACCAAAAAATCCTGAAAAAACAAAAAAAATCCTGCTACCAAACGAACCCTAAGAGCCTTTGTGTCAATTCCATTGATCATTTTTCTTGTTATCAATAGAACTCTTACATGAAGATAATCAATCTATCCGTCTTCTAGTTATCCGGCTTCCATTCTTTGACTTTGTTTGCATAAAGCTTTCAGGTTTTTTCTGAGAGACAAACAAATTTACCATGTTAGTTTAGAATAGAAAATCAATTAATAAGCCTAGCCTAATGGCGAGTGGCATGGATAGTTACTTAATAGGTTGTATATTCAATTTTTCAACGTATATATAAAAAAAAAAAAAAGTTTCCGATGTTACTTTAGATAACTTTATCTAATGTTCATCGAAACGACATCGTTTTGGGGTTGAAAAATTAAAAAATTAGAGTGATAAAGACTATTATAACCCTGAAATAAATTAAAATTACAAAAATACCATGATTTCTGTCCCAAAACGACGTCGTTTTGATGAACATTGGATAAAGTTATCTAAAGTAACGTCAGAAAAAACAAACTCAAAAAAAAATCAATTAATGTCGACCTCACTCGTACACACAATGGAGACAATGAAATCAACCGCACCAAATTTAAACATACGATGGTTTGACTTATTTAATCAACTTCACCTTCTATAACTAAGGAGGAGATTTAAAGCCAATAAAAAAAAAAGAGAAACAATAACTCATTAATTAGATTGTTACCACTGCCATGTGACTATCATCAAATAAAATGTGACTTTCATACATAAAAAGAAAAAATGTGTACTAAAATAAAAGTGTGACGTGAGTTTCATCTTTTTGTGAGAGCGAAAAAATATAAATTGTGTCATTTAAAGAAATAAACACTTTTCTCTAAAAAAACCACAAAATTTTTATGTAAAAAAAAACATGGGGTAATGTGAAGAAAAAAATATATATATATATAAATCTCATACTAGGAGATAAAATTATAGGTTTTATCAGTGTTATGTAATATAATGTAAGTGTTGTTTCCAACTCTCACATCAAAAAGGAGAGAGGAAGTGAAATGATGAAAGAGAAAGAAAAATATGTGTACCTCACTTCTTTAATGTGTGTGTAGAAAAGTAAAGTTATATTATGTTAAATGATAAACATAAAATCCTAAAATTATTTCACATAAGAGACAATAAATCCAAAAAAGAAATAGGTGTACCTTGGCTCTATAAGATTTGATGACTGCACTGAGTAACTTGTCTCCTGCTGTTTGTCTCACTTTTTGTACCAGTTCCCCTCGTGAAATCTTCTTTTCCTGCCAAAAACAGAAGAAGTGATCAACAATTATCCTTGCAACAGTCTCAAATCAAGATGCTAGTGAAGAAGAAACACTTACTCTATGATCTTTGAGGAACTTGTAGATGAGCGCAATGTCAGGTTGAGACAAAACATTGGAAAGCACAGAAATCAGAGTTGGGAATGGTATCCAAGGTGAAGATGGTCTCAAAGGTTCTTCTTCACTCTTCTCAATCCCTACATAGTAACACATGATTAAAATTAAATTTATATAGAAGACCATCCAAAATCCAAACACCACAGTAAAATGAAAACACACAAAAATCTTTATAAAATCCAAACCTTTCAAGGAAGGAACTCTGAAGCTTACAACATATGCTGGCAAGACATGAGTGTTCATCTTGCTACTCCAAACTATGTAGTTGTTAGGAGTTGAAAAACCATCAACCCCAGAATCATAATCCTCTGAACTCGGATTACATTGTTGTGTACCAGGAAGCACAAGTTCTGTTCTCCCTAGAATAACGCGGCATAGTAACAAGTGCCTCACACCATCTTCGCCAACAACACAGTTTTTCACACTGCACAACAACAACAACAACAACAAACACAAACAACTTTTGAAACTCATAATCAAACATAAACATATTCAAATACAAACTGAAGCAATCAAAGTAATGCACGCGAACCTTTCGAGAGGAGAATCATCCGGAGAGAGAGATAGTTTATGACCATGAGCATGACCAAAACCATGTGAAATGACATCTCTTATATCTTTCTCACCACGAGATCCATACCAAGCATACTTCACGTTGGCATTCCCATGGCGCAGTTTCGCCATGGCTCTCGAATAAACATGAAAGCACTGAACACGCGCTTGCGACACCACGCTGGAACAAGCGTTCCTGTGAATGGCGACAACCTCTGTTTTGGTACCGAGCAAACCCAAACCACTAAGGAACCTCCTCTTGATGAGGTCGTGAACAACGTCGCCTTCTCCGAGCGTTTCTAAAAACAACGTGGGACTGTGTTGGTGCACTACTCTGGTGCCGGAAACACCGCTCTCACTATCGGAAACAACCGAATCTTGGTTGGTTGCGTGGTCCCACACCGAATCCTCTGAGGTACTAAGAACTGAAGCACCAAAGCCGTTTTGAGGGAATGTTGGATCCATACTATAATTAACAGTTAAAGAAATCAGTTAGAAAACAATTGGTATATATGAAAAAGGTGTGTGTTTATAGAGATTGGACACTTGGCATGGAAGAAAAGAAGGGGTTGGGTTAGGGAATGAAAGATTAGTTTTAAGCGGATTTGGTAGTGAAGGCTAGTTGTGATAAAGAGAAAGAAAGAGAAGATAGAAGTGAGAGTGTTGTTAAAAAAAAAAAAAAATACAAGGGGAAAAGAAAACTGGGAACGGAAACCAAATGGGAAATAATGTTTATGTATTTTGAATATGAAATGGAATGGGAGTTTGCGATGGGCGGTGCACAGAGTGGAGAGTGTGGCGCTGCTGGTTTTGGAGAAGACTTGCCTGTAGATTTTGGACATTGGATTGATGGGTACCATAGAGGATAGTGCGCTTTACTTTTTCAACCCTGCTTTCCTACACATATCACATATGTGTCATCTCATCTCGATGTGTCCTTCTCATCCATGCCTAAAACTATTATTATTATTATTTTTTTTATGGTGTGGTATTATTTTATTTAATTACTTTAAGTTAAAGGAAAAATTATTATTATGCAATATAATTTCTTACAGAGACCCATAAAAAATTATGCTTATTTTTTTTTTTTTTTTTTTGTAAATAGTGAATTCTATCATATATGTGTGTATAATATAAAATATCTTCTCTTATATAATATAGGATTAGATAAACCCTTAGGGAGCGTTTGGTTGAGGATAAATTTTAAGAATACGAGGGAAATGTAATTACTAGGAATCCACAGGAAAAGTTGAATAGATGGGGAAGTTAAAAAAAGTAGTTTGGTTTGACATAATTTTACCAGGAAAATATATGAGGATTTTGGAAACCTATGTTTGGTTAAAAAAAATATTTTGACGGGTAAATGATGTAAAATTACAAAATTAACCTCGATACACAGCTTATTAACTAAACAAGTGGCCAGAGCGCTTTAGCCGATACCTTTCTAAACAGTGTATAATGGGAGGAGGTGAAAGTCAAAATTGGCTGCACAAAGGTCCCACCTTGATGCGCCTACGTGAAGGTAAAAACAAAAAAAATGGTCGTTGATGCGGAAGCATAGACAATCTATGCGCCTCATGTTTTAGGATCTTCCCGTTAAACATGTAGGGTTTAAAATTCATACCTTTTTCACTTGAAGGTGTCAAAGTGGACGACTCCCTCTAACAGTAATCCACACGGCTACCTCTTGGTTGCTTCTGAGAAACGCTTTCTCCCTGAACCCTCCCTTTCCTTGGAAGCTCGCTAGGCTGCGACAAGGTAGAGGCTCTCAAGTTTTTTTGTTTATTTTTCTCAAGACTGTAATGTTGTCTTGAGGTTAGGTGAGAGGACCAATAATGGAGGAAGAGAGATGAAGAGAAAGAGGGGCGGCCAAAAATTAGGATTTTAGTCCAGAGAGGCGTTGTATATCTTGATCTGAAGAAAAAGACGTTACTTTAACATGGTTCAGCAAATCCTTTAATCAGCATTAAGAGATGGACGTTATATTAACGTTTCCTCATCAAATCCCTTAATCAGCATTAAGAGATGGACGTTACATTAACGTTTCCTCATCAAATCCCTTAATCAACATTAAGAGACAAACGTTACATTAAATATAATTTTATTTAAATTCATAATTCAAATAAAATAGAAATAATAAATCTCTATCTAATCATATTAGATACAGATAAGGATAATTCAAAAACTATCCTTAATTACCTAACCCCTTGAATTTAAATAAAATTAAATTCGATTTTATCCTAGCCCGCAATTTAAATTTGAATTCAAATTCGAAATTCAAAAATTCAAAATTTAAATTCAAATTTCGAATTGCACCAAAAACTTATTTTGGCCAAGTCAACTATTTGACTTGCTAGGATTCATGGCCCAATACCGTATTGGGCCTACTAACACATTTGGGCTTATTAATAGAAAAATTAATCTTGCACTAATAGTCCAAAGGCGCATGATGATATTGGACTTGGAGTTCAACTCCAACCCAATTACACCTATAGTCTTGAAAAACCCAATAACACTTATTGGTCCAAACTTGCTAAATGTAAGCAATCAAGAATAACCTTAGTGTGTGACCCATTAGGCTCAATTAGTCACTGACATAAATAAACTTGAACCAATTAAACTTTTTTAACAGGCCCAATTTATCTAATGACCACATAAGACACTAGCAATGCTCTGCAGCCCCAGAACTAATTGAGTTGACCAAGTGATCTATCTTTCTAATTTGGATACCGTTTCGGCATCATCCCTCACAACGTCATTCACATTTAGTCGAGAGCAAGGATAGAGTATTATCTCTCTTTATTGACTAAATATAATATTTCACTTATTTACAAAAAAAAAATATATATAATATTTCACAGGAACTAGGAATCTTCTTCCATTGACTCTAAGATAGATCATGACTCTTCATGATCTCTTATTATGCATAGATTCCCGAGTCAACTAGAAGTCATCCAAGCCCTACCGGTCTTGTGAACGACTAATCCCTTATAGGGGATTGTGAAGTCCTTTCGGCATGTTCATCTATACTCATGTATTCGAGTCATACCCAAGAGTACACTGTTCTCCCCATTTTTCAGGCGGATAAACTCGTCTCAAAGAGATAATTAGGGTTGGGTAACTCCAAAAAAAAAAGATATCAATTATAAAACAATTTCTTTTAGGGTATGTTTAGTGGACAAGATAAAAAGGATAGGATAATATATGTTATCATATCTCGTCCTTATCCATTGTTTAGTGAACTAACAGGAGATGATCACATTATCGTGTTGGCTTATTTTATTATAGCTGCAATACGATAAGCTATCTAAGGGGGGACTTGGGGTTAGGAATAAACATGATAAGATAGCATATGTCACATCCCTCTCATTCTAACTATAGTCATATGTTTTTCCACTACAAACATTACTAGGCACATGAGGTCAGTCCTTGCCTTCGACTAGGTGCCGCTGCCGGTCATTAGCCACCTCTACCACCCACTACCGCCACCGGCTATCACCATGAGCTACCAGCCACCACAATTGCCATCGACTACAACCAACCACCACCACCACCACCACCACCACCGATCAACCCCCACAATTGCCCCCACTCTCCATCATCACCATTGCTACCACCGCCACCACCACCAACCCTAACCTCCAAGCACCAACTGTCACCGCCATCAATTAGCCACCACAATTGCCACCCGTTAGCGTCGGTGCCACCACCACCACCACTACATCCACCAACCACCCTCACTTGCCACCATCGCACCAACAACTAGCACCATTGTTGTCATGGGGCTCACTAAAGAAAATTCGGCTTTTTATTTGAGGTAAAATTTTAATTCTCTAGGAAAAGTGAGGATGTGTTTTATTATAAGCGATGTGTTTTACTAATATGAATAAAATAAAGTTGGAATATATTGTTGCTTATTGCAAGATTGTAGGAAGTTGATTCTTTTCGTATTTGTTATTACTTGTGTTATTATCACAGGTTGCATTCTGTTGCCTATCAATATTTGCTTCTGTTGTGACTTCAGCAAGTGCACCGGTTGTAAAAATAATAAAAGTGTACTTTGCGTACAAGATCGTTTCCACGGGGATTAATTTTCAACCAATAGTTCACTACTCACGATTTAGTTGGACAATAGCTTACGAGAAACTTGAAGTTAAAATAATGATTGATCAAGAACATAAAATTTCAGAATTAAAACAAGCAATTAAAAAGAAGTTGGTTTTGAAAATCAAGAAAGAGCGTAGTTAAGGTTTTGATCCCCCCAATATCCTTCTTATATTATGGATTAAACAATCAAATAATCGCCCTTAATATAATGCCAATCGATTCCTCTAAAGTAATTAAGGCTCAATCTCTTGTTACCTTAATTCTTGTAATCTTGAAAGAATCCTAATTCCTCGCTATTCTCCAAGAAAACATGTATTACTATCAAGAATCTAAAGATTGTATAATTGTCATATGTCTATTCCTAGATCACAAGGATTATGATGAATTTATCAAATCAGGGTTCATGCACAAACATCTCTATTATCATGTAATTCTCCTAAATCAGTCTACAAGGAGCATACTCATTGAAAGCATTAAACACATATAAATTCATTCAATTATAAAAAGGAAAATTACAGAGACAATTTAATCCATCTACATAAGAATTCAATTGGGTTCCATATACCTTTAACTACATAAAAATCTAGCCTAGCATAGCGCAATCAAAGACAAGAGAAGGTAAAGAAAATCCCCCAAACACCATTGGTGTGATGCATGAAGAACCCTCAAAACACCCAGCTTGTTCTTGAATTCAAACCGCTCCCGATGCTCCTAAGCATGAAAGACGCGCTTTCTCACTCTAAAGTAGGATTTGCTCTTCTCAATTATCAAAAGCTCTTTAATCTCTGTTGAAATCCCTTTTTATATGAATGAAAATCGTGCCCTAAGTGAAAATATTAAGTTGGGCCTTTATTGGATCGCATGAGAGCGTTCAAATGTTGATCAGCGCATTCAAACGCGCATAGGTGCAATTTTTCACTATTGTATGTCGTTCAAATGTTGGAAAGCACATTTGAACGTGCTCATTGACGGGGACTTCCTTCATGCTAGTGCGTTTAAATGTTAACATCACATTTAAACGCGCTCATCCAAAAACTTTTCTTCATGTTTGCTCATTAATTAGCACATTTTAACGTGCTAGATAACATTTGAACGCACTCATAATTGTTGATTTACCTTCTTGGATGTATTTCCAGACTTCTCTGATATTCCATTCTTAACTCCAAGTCCCTTGTTCCGTTTTTGCTCTTCTTCTTATCAATTTTCCTTCAAAACCAACAATTACAAAACATGTTAGATCAGATTCTAACTTTCATGCTTTTCATTGTAAAACTTCATTAATCGTGCTTTTGACCATGTAATCCATGTAAAGTTAGCCCTAAAAACATGATAAACTACATATTTATCAGTCTTTTCTTTTCTCACACTATTTATCATCATCATCCTCCACAAACATCGTGAACAATTTCGTTTATTGAGATGGTTAACAACGAAGGTTGGGAATAATGCTGGTGTAGTTGCTTGGTTGCACATATATTGTCGGTCTCTGGAAACTAGTGTTTGCATCCTTGAATTCTGTAATGCACCTTTTTTCTTTTTTTACTTGTTCTTTAGTTTAAAATAGAACTTTTTGCTGGTTCCTGGGTAAGGGGAGAGCCAACTGCATTTTTTTTTATGGGTGAGACTTTACTCGCTGGTGGGTGTAGTGAATTTGCCCCTTTCCTCGAGAAAACTTTCAATACCACATGTGTACATACACCCCTTCCCAAATTAGAAAACTTTCAGGACTTAGAAGAAAATACTAAAAAAGACCTGGATTGAAATGATATACAATTTTGCTAATTTTGGAAAATGGGTGTTCTCCGTGTTATTTTAAAAATATCTTTTTCCTCCATGTGTCATTGAATAACAGAAACCAGATTACGGATTTGACCACTTAACTTGATACAACTAGTAACGAGTTTTGTGGCCTCTTTTAAGGTGTCACGTGGCATTAACCAAATTTGCTGACAGTTGTAGCAAGTTTGGTGCCGAGATATTTTGATAAAATTTTTTATCCTCGTTACATTTAGACATTTTTTATTCAAAAAGATAACACAATAGTCAATTTCCCCTAAACTAACCTAGTACGATTTAGTTCAAATTGAAGTAGGCAAGCTTATAGTAGGCCTAACTCGTCTACAAGCTTTAAAATATCATAATTAACTATTATAATTATTTTGTTAAGTTTATCTAAATGTTATTTTAGACAAACTTATTTATTTTAAGTGACAATTACTTTTAAATCTTTTCATGTAAAACAATTTAAGCTTTTTAATACAAATTAATTAGTTAAATTTGGACTCTAATTGTATAAATAATAAAGTAAATGCAGGACTGGGTTAAACCAACGACTGAGTAGGCCGAATATAGTAAAATGCTTTTCAATTGGTCTCTCTGCGGACTGATATGCATTTAGGCCACCCCACAACTGAGTAGTTCAAATGGGCTGAGCCAACCCAAATTAACACCTCTAGTCATTTTATTAAAAGTGTCTTGTTCATATGCCCTAATAATACTCAATATTTTGATACATTAAGTTACACATTTTTGTCTTTTCAAGAAATTTTAATAAATTAAAAAACTATCTCTTTAATTAGGAATAATAAATAAAAATTTAATCCCTTAATTAGTTTATCATAAAAAAAATTATATCCTTGAATGATAACCATAAATTTACGGAATTCTGTTACCCAGTAATACAAAGCAATCATTTTTTTGGATAATACATGGTGATCTTATGATATTCTATTTTTTAGATCATAATATAAATAAATTATCACATATTTATTACTTTTACTTGGTCTCAAGGGGTTAATTTGCCTAGTCGATATTTAAAATCGCTTGGAACATAGAGCCATGGACCTTACGCTGAAAAACATGGCATAGGTTCACTGTTTGACTCAGATATGGAGTTATACGAAAACTATGAACCTGAAACCATTAGCAAATAAAATCTAACATCCAACTCTACGATTCGTACAAGATCACCTACTTAAATTATATCAATTTGATTCTCCAAATCAAACTGCAATAGGGAAACAGGTGAAGTTGGTGGAGTATATATAGTTGATGAAGTGATGCACTTATAGTTGACCCATTGTACACGGCCCAACCATTGATTCAAGAAACTCGTAGTCAACTAGAATTGTGGCCTAATAAGTATGATTCAATTGTTGAAAGAGACAATGATTAGCAAATTACAATCGAATACAAGTCCTAATAAAGCAGCAGATGTGATTGTGATTTATTTGGAAAGAAAAGGAAAGTAACATATTTGGAGTGATTTGAAATTTAAGATTTGGGATATATTTTGAATTATTTATTTGTAATTTTTTATTTATTTGTAGATATTAATTACTGTTATCTTTATTTTAGGAAGTTTTATTATTTTTAAAATTTTAGATTTAGAATTTTGAATCATTTCGTAATTAGTCTATAAAAGGGTACCCTTATTCTAGGAGTTGAATATTATTATTTTGTTAATTAAATTGAGAACCGGAGGGTTACTCTTTTGTAAAAACCCTAACTTTCTGTTTAGCCACTTTTCTATGCGCTTTTGGCATCATTTGGTATCAGAGCACTAGGTTGCCTTCAACCAATGGCTGAACAGAATCGTGGAGGTCGACGACGGCGGAGTCATGAGAGTAGGGAACGTGGATTCGTTCTTGAAGAATATAGACAACTGCGTCAGATTGACCTGCGAGTTATAGAAAAATGAAGAGCTCGGAAGGCGGATCCAGGATTTGAAGCAACAACTTGAGCAAGTGTTGGACAAGAAAATCCAAGTTTTGAAGCGACTAGGTGTGTAGGCACATAGAAAGAGAATTCAAGATTTGGAGCGATGTCTCGTGCGGGTATGCATGAAAATTCAAATTTTGAAGCAAACTCTTGTGGAGGTGCAGAGCATGGAAATTCAATTTTTGGAGCGGCGACTTGCGTGGACAAAGTTGGGCATTCAATCCGAAGAAGGAATGTAATTAGATGACGCATCTGATGACGAATAAGAGGATGTCAATCTCTTAGGGATTCTAAATCAGGGACAGAATTGGGAAGTACGACCTGGAAATCAGTCCACTTTTTAAGATATCGAGATGCAAATCAGCATTCCTGACTTTGAAGTCTATGATCATAATCCAGTTTGTGATGATGATCCGATCTATGATGATAATTCAATTTATGACGATTATCCATCTTATGATGAAGATTCAGTTCATGATGATAATCCAGTCTATGATAAATCTGATAGTCAATCAGATTATGAAGATCTAATAGAGGAAGATTTATCATTTGAATTTTTGTCTAAAGAAATTGAGATTAGTGGAGATAAACAAGATTCGAGGACGAATATTTTCCTAGCAGGAAAGAATGATGCACTTATAGTTGGCCCATTGTACATGACCCAACCATTGATTCAAGAAACTCGTAGTCAACTAGAATTGTGGCCCAATAAGTATGATTCAATTGTTGAAAGAGGCAATGATTTAAAATGTAGCAAATTACAATCGAATCCAAGTCTCAATAAAGCAGCAGATGTGATTGTGATTTATTTGGGAAGAAAAGGAAAATAACATATTTGGAATGATTTGAGATTTAAGATTTGGGATGTATTTTGAATTATTTATTTGTAATTATTTATTTATTTTTAGATATTAATTACTGTTATATTTATTTTAAGAAGTTTCATTATTTTTATAATTTTAGATTTAGAATTTTGAATCATTTTGTAATTAGTCTATAAAAGAGTGCTTATGACCCTTTTCTAGGAGTTGAATATTATTATGTTGTTAATTAAATTAAGAATCGAAAGGTTACTTTTTTGTAAAAATCCCAACTTTCTGTTTAGCCACTTTTCTATGCGCTTTCAACATCATAGAGTACAATAGGGTTGAGCTAACCATACAAGAATAGAGGAAAGAGTAGAACTACACATTCAATCGTACAGAAAGGACTGCAAGTTAAATATTGGGACTCCATGTTTTCTATTTGTTTAGTAGACGTGAGTCTTGTCGTCTTGCATGCTTTCTTTCTTATTATTTTGTTTTACTGTGTCTATTGTGAGTAAACATGATTACTTCAAATTCTATACAGTATAGAAATCGGTTTGTTTGATGTTAAGAGTAAATCAGAATCCATTTTTTGTCAATTGGAGCCATGTATATTTGTGGAGAAATTGATACATGGAACCGTGGCTTAGATAGGAAGTGTTATTTTAAATGTATATACCTAATTAAAGAGATAGGTATCCATATATTAAGAGTTGATAATATAAAATGCAAGAGCAGGGCCTAAATGACGCGCTTAAACAACTACAGATGATTAGTATGCTCTGGAACCGATAGATGTAGATAATATTTTTCAAAATTGATCTTCCATTGAATATAATTGATTAATCACAACAAAAATAGTGATTGTAGCTTATTTTTTTTGTTTTTTTTACAGGATTTTGATTTTGTTATTGATAGTACAAAATCAAAAGAAATATCCATTGCCTATAATTTAATAATATATTTGCAATCGTTTAACTGCTAGAGTTATGACGATATAGACGTAGGCCAATACTTATATCTACAACTGTATTTCATTATTATATAACATGTGGACGGCTCATTATAACCAAGCTCCCCAACCGGGAAACATTTGGCATAAACGCTCCGGATCGATTGCATCCTGGATGAGTTGTTGCACCTGCAAATATAATACCACAATTATATTTTTCATGGAATATTTCAACATGTTTGTTAGAGAAATATAATATAAAAATTATTGATGTAGCCTTACCTAACAACTTAAATTTTTGAATTGAATTGACTCTTTACATAATATCAGAACCTTTATAATCACGTGGTGCGATCAAGTAGTTACGAGTTCCATCCTCACACTCCTCATTCTATTAATAAATAATTAATATTGTAGAGTTTGTAAGCATAGATAGGTGGACCTATGCATTGTCCACCTTTCAAGTCTAATAAACTTTTTTGTGAAGGGACGTATTATATAAATGTAATATAAAAATCATTGATGTAGCCTTATCTAAGTATTAGGTGAGGTTTGTGATATTTAACATTATTTACAATGTTAAATATTAGGAACGAGATGTATGTGATGTAAATTTGTGTTAACTATACAACAAAGAGATACACATAATGAGGGAATGAACTACTCTATACAATTTTATTTACAACACTCTCCCCTAAAGCTGGGGCATATAGATCGTATGCTCCAACCTTGTTATATATGTGATTTATCCAGGACCCTTTCAAAGATTTAGTGAAAACATCAGCTAGTTGATCATTTGAGTTAACAAAATTGGTGACGATATCTCCCGAGAGGACATTTTCTCTGATGAATCTCAATGTGCTTGGTCTTTTCATGAAACACTAGATTGGAAGCTATATACAAAGCAACTTGATTATTGCAAACGAGAGATGCTGGTCCAAGTTATTTTAGGTAAATGAGTTCACAAATGACTATGGCCATTGAACGATATTCTACTCACTCGATCTAGCAACCACACTCTATTTCTTACTTTTCCAGATAATCAGGTTATCTTTAACAAATACACAATACCCAGAGATGGATCTCCTATCAGTTGGGTAACCTGCCAAACCAGTATAAGAGTATGCCACAACCATGGTATGACCTTTGTTTCCATAGAGATCTTTTCTTGGAGTTTTCTTGATGTACTTGAGAATACGAATCAATGCATTTCAGTTATCTTGATAATGAGAATTCAAAAACTGACTTACTCAATTGACTGCAAAAGAGATGTCTGGTCGAGTGAGAGATATTTCAGCTTCCCAACTAATCTTCTATACCTTTTTTGATCTGAGAATGACAACCCCTGATTAGGTTGAAGCTTTCACATTTGGATCCATAAGAGTGTCGACTGGCTTAGCATTCAATAGATTTGTCTTCTCAAAAATGTCCATAACATATTTCCTCTGGGATATCACAATATCATATTTGGATCGAGCCACCTCTATCCCTAAGAAATACTGGAGTCTTCTAAGGTCCTTTATCTAAAAATGATGGCAAAGATGTTTTACTTGAGTTATGCCACGATGATCATTACCTGTAATGAAAATATCGTTAACATACACCACCAAATAAATAGATCCTGAAATAGAGTGGCGATAAAATACTAAGTGATCAGCCTCACTCAGAGTTATGCCAAATTGTTACAGTTGTACAACGATACTAAATCTTCTAAACCAAGCCCGTTGAGACTGCTTGAGACCATACCGGGACTTGTGAAGACAACATATTAGGCTAGACTCCTTCTAAGCAACAAACCTAGGAGGTTGCTCTATATAAACTTCCCCCAGATCACCATTGAGGAAAGCTTCTAGATATCCAGCTAATACAAAAGAGTGACGAATAGCAACTATAGTAAGAAAAAGGAGAACATAGGTTATTTTTGCCACTAAAGAGAATGTGTTGCCATAATCTATGCCAAACATTGGAGTGTAACTTTTGGCCACCGATTAGGCCTTGAGACGGTCCACCTGACCATCAAGACCGACCTTGTGTATATCGATTTGCAGCCAACAATAGATTTTCAGAGGAAAAGGGAACCAGATCCCAAGTATCACTACTTTGAAGCGTACGCATCTCGTCAATCATAATCTGCTATTTGGAACGAGATAACGCCTCACATATAGTCATAGGAATAGATATAAAAGACTAAGAATATACACAAGCAAAATGCAAGGAACGTGAGTGTCGTCGGTACAAAGCTCCTAGGCTAGATGCCAAACAGACTCACAAGAAACATGAGCACGAAAGATCTACTTCAATTACGGGTGGATATGGTGATGATGATGCGTAACTGAACATCAACCTTTTTCCATCAAGGCACTCATCTACTGGGATAGGCTCAACCTTAGTGGTGAGATAATCAGTACAATCTTGTCCATATAGCCAAAGCTCGAGATCAGAAGCCCAAGAGTCATAATTAGAGCCATTCATCTTGTCCACACATAATAGAGAATTAACATAATTGCTGAAGTCTGGTGCCTCGGGCTTCAGCGCACCTTTAGATGCATTACAAAGTGGAGAGAGTCAACCATGGGTCACCTGAAAAAGACAAAAAACGAAGAAAAGAAGAGTGTGAAGAGTAGCACAAAGGTGAAAAAGACCCCGTGGAGTCTGCAAAAGAGTCAAAATGGACAAATCTAGATAGATTTGGAACCAGCAAGAGAGGGCGATCCTCTCTGCCCAAGTCGCGCATGGAGGGGACATGGCACATACCTCTACATGTCGATGCAAGTTCTGGAAGCGTGTGTCTGTCACACGCGTGAGGGTAAATGGATAGGAGTCTTGAGGTGGGCCATTGATAGAAAGAACCTCCTAGTTGCGATAGTCAAAACCGTGGGTACGTTGTTGAAAAAATTCCCTGAAAAAGTCGTCGATCAACGGCGACAGAGATCAGATAGGATCTAAGACGATTGATGGAGGAAGACGGAGGCCAAAAACTAATGGACGTGATAGTTTTTGGAAAAAAATTTACTGTGTGGACAGTGGGTCCATCTGAGAGACAAATTTGGGTTTCTCTTGTTAGACTTTGGATACCATATTAAATATCAGGACTCGAGAGATATGTGATGAAAATCTGTGGGTGTTAATACACAGTGGAGACTATTATATAACTGTTGAGATATATAAAACCATTAATGTAATATCATCCAACAGCTTAAGGTTTTGGGTTGAATTGGTTCTTTACATGGTATCAGAGTTTCGGTGTACCGGGTTCGATCCTCACCGTCTCTCACTTTCTTTCTAGTGGAATTTCTTTCTTTGCACAGGTAGGTGAGCCTGTGCATCGTCCACCCTTCAAGCCTAGTGGACTCTCGTGTGAGGGAGTGTGTTGAGATATATAAAACCATTAATGTAGTCTCACCCAATAACTTAAGCTTTTGGGTTGAATTTGTTCTTTACAATAACTAATTGAAAGGGAGGTACAAAGAGATATACATGACGTGGGATCGAACGACTACACAAATTCTATTTACAACAAAATATGTAAATTTAGATTTCATTTCTTCGTTTAGGTTGATGTCACCTATGGTTTAAGATACTGGTTAGAAATTGTTGGCAATTGAAGATCTTTATTCTCCAGTACGATGAAAGTACCTGTTGGTATCTAGTAGGCGAATGTGAATGTGCAACTTGTGTATAAGTTAGGCTGAATCCTTAAACATAACTCTTAACACCCATTTTGACAAGTTTATGTTCCAACTTTCAACTTCCTATTTTACCAGTTTCATGACTAAGAAATGCATAGTATCCAATCCACTTTTATCAGCCAAACGAAGATAAAGATGAAAAGGAAAAGAAAAGTGCAAAATTGGAATACAATAATGTGGCAGATTTATCAACCAAATACCGGCCTATATACAAAAATTTAGCAGATATATATCAATTAATACCTGCCCATGGATGCTTCGCATTTCGCCTTCTTCATACCCATCTAGCTTTTGTTTGACACGCAGAAGTGCACGTGCAGCATCCTTATTTCCTTCATAATCATTATGAGGTTCCTCCAAACTTGTATCCATATCATCATCCATTTCCTATGGAGAAAAGGGGAAAAAGGTCATTGCAGGTAAATCAAGTAATGCAAGTTGAACAGACTTAAAAAACTAGATGAAAATCCACAGCCTGTGACATCATTGGAAACCAAATAAAGAATATCAATGGTCACTTGAAGGAATAGGTGGAGGTTCGCTGTCCCCTTATATACTCATTTCCACAACTCATGATAAGTACTGATTTCAGCTAGTCATTGAAACAGGGCTGCCCGCCCCTACCCATACTATGAGATGCTGAACATAGGTTAGATAAAGAAAATAAAATTGAGACAATACCTTTTGACGTTGCAAAGCTTTCAGAGGCGATAAAGCCCACTTGTAAAGAGGATCGTGGATAAAAACCTGTAGAGGACACTCATCTGTTATGAAGAAAATATAGAAATAGATGTTTGATTCATACTACAGAAAATTGGGTGAAGTATGATTACTTCCACAATCGTCAGCAATGCTTCTTTGTTCGTTCGCATAACAGACAGTGTTTCCTCGCAACATCTTCGGAAAACCCCCTCTATACCAGTTACGCCCATTCCATCAATTAAGTCTCTTGTGAGCCTAAATGGAACCTGCCAGCAGCCACAGAAGATATTAGAAATCCAGATGAAGTATGGAAATGAGTGCATGACTCAAGGACTATCAAATACATACCCGTTCTGGGGTCTTAAGCATCAAGCCTTGTTCAAAAGCGACACCAAGATCTATGTGAACAACCTCTGCAGTGGCCTGATCAATTAAAATATTCATCGAATGTCGATCTCCAAGGCCAACAATATAACCAACCTGCATATGAATAAACAAATAAATATACCAAGGTTTGTGATATATTGATGTAGATGAGGTTTTGCTGACATTTCAGAGAACAGAATCATATCTCAGATAGATAATACTAAATTAAAAGCTGTTTTGTAAGAGAACAGAAGTGATATATAACGGTGGATTTATTTGGACACAGACGGGCAATATATGAAGGATTATTTCAGAAGTCAGAGCTGTATTCATTCCAACAAGGTTACACTATCAAAGACTATATATTTGCTGTAATAGCTAGGTGGAAAAATATCATATAAAACCTTCAAACAGGTGCACTAGAAAGGATTTAACTTGAATCAATCCTTCTTTTATTAGTGCTAGTGTTGAATGGGCCTTCTTTAATTTTACTTGGACCAAGACCATTGCCATTACACATTAAGATACTTTTAAGAAATATTAAGGACTGGGAGGATCCAAATATTGAAAAAATAAGCATGCCTGGAAAAGTAGAATGCACTTACCATACAACTAACAGCAACACTTCTGGTATAAACAAGTCTCTTCTCAAACCACTCTGCTGGCTGTATAAACCTCTCCAAGAAAAAGTAATGCATAACAGGCCTGCATGACAATGTCATTAAGCTACGGAGTTGATTACGTGTTCTTGGTCCTTTAAAAGACAAATATAGGAAAGAAACCTGAAATTCCTGTAAACATCCTGGAATGCTTTGCGCTTGTCCCTTTCCTACAAAAAAAACATCACGCATAGTACTACTATTCTATTTCATATATCAGAAAATAAAAGGTATAATATACATTAAGTAATTCGTATATATTTAAGTTGTATAAGTTTGTCTTTTTAATTTTGTTTTGTATTCTCTTTCTCAGAAATAGTGTATGAGTTGAATAGGTAAAATTATTGTACAATATCTGATAAAGAATGAATTTGACATGAGGCTTTCCCCATAATTCTCTCTGACATTATTGTTCATGTTATACGCACTAAATTTTTTCAAAAAGAAGTAAGAACGGGGATATGGAAGATCTGGTCTCATAGATTAATGTAATTATGTTATCTGGTTTCACTAGGTTTCCCTCAGATCATGACAGATTTCCTTATACGAAGCAGCAAAAATAATCCTATCAGAACACATCAAGTACCTAAAGCACTGGGAAACCGATTTCAATATAAAATAGTGTCGTAACATAAGTCTCTCGTTCTATTTTGTTGACGATGATCTCATCAGTCAACCACACTAAATATTAAATTAATACTATTTTATGAAACTAGAATGCACAAAACCCATTATGCATTTAAAGGAAGATTAGAATTTTTCAGTATATAAAAGCAGATGATAAAATAGTTATTTGACATCTAATATTTCAAAGTTAATTATTTTTGTTTTTTATTTTCAATTCTTTTTGGATAAAATTTTTTTGAGCACCGTCACTTTATAAAATAATCAAACAAGCAATATACTTCAGGAAAATTCAAGAAATACTTTTATGACAGCCATGTTGACAAAAGTACTTAAATATTATTTGCTTACACTTGTCATGTGGTCTCGGCATTTTAGAAATGACCAATCCCCTATTCCATAGCGACCATGAGCACCTCCATCTCTCATGCTGAAGTTCAAGGAGGACCGTTAGAAATAAAATTATTTGTTTTCACCTAACAGTTGAAGCTATTGGTATAGTTGACTCATGACATGATAGTAGTCTCTATATGACCATGTGATCTAGTGTTTGATCCTTAGTGCCCCTATTTTTCTAAATAAGTTAAATTTCAACACAAGGTAGGGTCTACCAGTGCATTGTTCATTTGTTCACATTTCAAGCCCAAAATCCTCTTGTGTAAAGGGTCGTGTTAGATATAAAATCATTCATGTACTTTCATCTATCTATTAGCTTAAGCTTTTGAAATAGTTGGCTCATACAAGGACCAATCACTTTAAAGTTGAACAGAACAAGATATTTTGCAGTAAAATACATATTTCTTTGACTGACCTCCCTATAAGATATTCACCGAGAGGAAGAGTGCCATTAACCCACTCAAGAACACCAGCACTTGGAGTAAAAGGAACAACCTATTTCATAGAAAATGATAATCCTCAACCATTTTAAGAATTCAATCTCTTTCAATCATACTAATATAAACAACCTTAGGTAAACAACAAAGTCAGATTCCTCCACAAGAAGTGTTTAAAGATCAATAGTATTACATATAAGAGGGAAAGACTGGGATGCTAGTAGGATACAACAAAGGACTTCTTGTATAAAAGTTCAAGTGAACAATTTGTAAAACAAATAAAAAACTAAAAGTAGGACAAAGAGAACAGACTAGGTTTAAAAAAACTGCACGATATAAAAAAAACAAAAACTACACATAACTCTTGAGTAGATCCTCTAATGGAATTAAAAGTTTATAAACGCTTCCAACCAGCAGAGGAAAAAAAACATTTTTCAGGTAGAAAGACATTTTGAACATCATTTCACTTTTCGGCAAGAAAATTCCTTCACATGTACTCTGAAGCACATAATAGTTTTTCATGAAGCAACTTTTTATTGTCCATGGAGAAAGAAATATATAGAAAAACAACCCTGGGAACAGGACCCTGCTGCAAAAGCATATTCTTTGGTAGAGAAACAATTCAAAGAGCCATGAGTAATGAAAAATAAATGAAACCCTCATCTTAGCTCCACTTTCATTTTCCCTTGTTTATGGCACTGCACACGTTACCCTAAAACTGTTTACTACAGCATATTCAGCACCAGAGACCAACAACTTTAGAAAAAGCAGAATATACCTTGTAGGTTCGTACTCCTAGCCTTCTTTTCCATGTATCTCGATGGTTCCTCAGGAATGTGTTAACTAAACCAAAGAATTGTTCCATTACCTATCAAGAGTTCAGAAGGTTAACCATCAAAGTAAACAACAAAGATCCCATAAGATGTCCAGTTTCCCTTGTGAGTCAAGAAAGCTGTGAACATCTAAAAGGACGACATAACAATTTCTTTTGCATTGAGTAATATATACTGAAAGGTTTAACTTGGACCAACTACCAAGTTAGCTAGCTAGATGGAAGGTATCAGTTTTCTAAAATAGGACAATCCCGATCAGAACGTAGAAAATACAAATTGTCAACTTTAGATCATAATTTAACATATATTCGTAAAACATGCTTGCTTGGAATGCCACATTTTTCTAAAGATGGAAAACTATAATAATTCAACACAACTTTGCAACAGATACCAAAAAGATTAGAAAGCAAAAGCTGTTAGAATTCATACAGCATCCTGTCTTAGGTCATCATTCCCAGATTTTGCAAGTTGCCGATATCTGCAACCGTCAGAACCCAAGCATTCAACCACTTTTGGAGCATTTATACCATTCATTATCCTGTACATCAAACCAACATAAAGTATATTTTGGCATCAAATATTGCATGCTAGGAAAACTTTTTCTCTGAATGGTATAAATGATTGAGACATACATAACTGAATCTGCTAATCCTTTGAAATAAGGAAAAGTGCCTTCATTATACTGACAACTATGATCAATTGAAATGGTAGCTGTCACTACAGGCACCTGAATGTCAAATGTAAATGCAAAGGAAACGGTTCAGCACAAATATAGCTTTAGAAGTGGAAGATATAGCAAGTTTAGCACACCAAATGTTGACAACATATGGACACTGCTTATATAAATTTTTACAACCAAACTTTGACAGGAAATACATATATCTGACAAAAAATTCAACCGAAGAAAAATCAAGTTAATAACTTCTGCAGTATTAGCACATGAAAATCTATATTATATATAAAAGTATGAGAGGGATTTTTGATAAGTTTCATTTAAAAAATGATGATTGAAGAACAATTAATGAAAGTTGGATGCATTGAAGAGATGCATAAAGCGTAAATTTGGAAATGATGATTGAACAAAATGTTGAAATTATTAAGATTTAGAGGGACAAAAAATAATTAAGATGAAAAATATTCTATAAATATGTTCTAAGAATATCTAGAAAATATCGTATAATATATTAATTATATCTTAAAATAGTTTAATGATCTCTTAGGAATAGTTTTCCTATTTTCTTATATTTCATTTTTTGTTTCCGTATTATAGGATTCCTCTATTTAGTATAAGACTTGAAAAAAGGGTAATGAAATATATTATTGAATTGTAAATAATCTGTACAAAGGGATATCTATTTATAGAATACATGACCTAGAATTCTTGACTTAATGGGCTAAGCCCAATACAACAAATAAATAAATAAATAAATAAATAAATAACTATTATTTACAACACTCCCCCTCAAGCTGAGGAATAGATATTTATCATTCCCAGCTTGCTAGTAAGCTCTTGAAATCTGTCTGAAGGAAGTCCCTTTGTCAATACATCAGCTAATTGACGTCCAGTGGGAATGTATGGAGTGGTAATCAACCCGCTATCAAGTTTCTCTTTGATGAAATGGCGGTCGACCTCAATATGTTTAGTCCGATCATGTTGAACTGGATTATGAGCTATACAAATAGCAGACTTATTATCACATAGCAACTTCATAGGTCCCTCACATTTTATTTTGAGATCATCAAGTACAATTTTTAGCCACAGTAACTCACAAATGGCTTGAGCCATAGCTCGAAATTCAGCTTCTGCACTTGATCTGGCAACCACATCTTGTTTCTTACTTCTCCACGTCACCAAGTTACCACAAAGAAACATACAATATCCAGTGATAGAACGACGGTCAGTCACAGATCCAGCATAATTAGCATAAGTGTAGACTTCTAAAGAGAGATTGCCCTCACGCCGGAATAACAGTTCTTTACCAGGAGTAGCTTTAAGATATTGAAGAATTCTCTCTACTGCCTGCATGTGTTTCTCCTTTGGATCGTGCATAAACTGAATGACAATACTAACAGCATAAGCTAGGTCTGGTCTAGTATGAGCCAGATATATCAATTTCCCAACTAGCCGTTGATATTGTCCTTTATCAACTGGAGGACTCTCCTTTTCATCGCCTATCTTGTGATTCTGCTCAATAGGAGTATTAGAGGGTTTACACCCAAGCTTTCCTGCTTCTTTGAGAAGATCAAGAACATATTTCCTCTGGCTGATGAAAATTCCTTTGTTTGAATGAGCTACCTCTATTCCTAGGAAATATCTCAGTTTCCCAAGGTTTTTAACTTCAAATTCAGAGGCTAGCCGTGTTTGCAGAATATGTCTCTCCACAAAATCATCACCTGTTATAATAATATCATCAACATATACAAGGAGCACAGTGAGCTTCCCATCTTGGGAGTGCTTAAAGAAAAAAGTGTGATCTCCTTGACTCTGTTTGTATCCTAAGGTCATCATAACCTTAGTAAACCTTCCAAACCAGGCACGAGGTGACTGCTTCAATCCATACGGGGCTTTTCTTAATCTACAAACTTTATTTTCTCCGTCCACAGAATCAAAACCAGGCGGGATTTCCATGTAGACTTCTTCTTCTAACACACCATTAAGGAAAGCATTCTTCACATCAAATTGATTTATATCCCAATTGTAATGGGCAGCAAGGGATAACAAGACTCTCACCGTATTCATATTTGCAACTGGAGCAAAGGTTTCTTCATAATCAATGCCATAGGTCTGAGTGTAACCTTTGGCGACTAACCGAACCTTATATCTCTCAAGAGTGCCATCAGAATTATACTTTAGGGCATAAACCCATCTGCACCCTACTGCTTTCTTTCCATTGGGTCTATCAATAACCTCCCATGTTTTATTTTTCTCCAACGCATTCATCTCCTCTTGCATGGCTTGGGCCCAATTCTCATCTTTTAATGCTTCATGTACTGATTTTGGGATTGAAATAGAATCTAGTGCTGAAACAAAGCTTTTGTGCTGTACAGAAAGATTAGTATAAGAAACAAAATGGGAGATAGGGTATTGAGTACAAGATCTTTTCCCTTTTCTTAGGGCAATAAGTAAGTCATCAGAAGCAGAAGCAATGGGTAAGTCATCAGAGGTATCAGAAGAAATAGGCAAATCATGAGAGGCAATAATATTAGAATCAGAAACAGGAGATTTAGGACTTACCAGTGGTTCAGACAATTGAGGTTGCTGGTGAGACAGTATGGGTTGTTTCCTCCTCTGATATACCAATTCAGGTGTCAAAATCTTTCGTATCTCAGGTGTATTTGAAGGTTCTGACACACCAGGAGCAGACACACTAGGAAGAGGTGTAGGAGTAGACAAGGACGATCCAGACTCAAAGAAGGAAGGGGATGAGTATTCTGAAGAACTGTTCTCCCCCTGAAGATGAAGACCCAGGAAATAAGACTCAGATTCTTGAAAGGTGACATCCATAGAAACAAAAAAATTTCGACTTGGTGGATGATAACACTTGTACCTTTTTTATCAGGGGCATAACCAAGGAAGACACACTTAAAAGCCCTAGGATCCAACTTACTGCGATGTTGTTTATGAACATGGACAAAGGCAACACATCCAAACACTTTTGGTGGAAGGCTCTGCAAAATGGGAACAGAAGGAAAGAAGGAAGTCATGGAATGAATAGCACGGGTATTGTTAAGGACCCGTGAAGGTAAGCGGTTGATCAAAACGGCTGCAGCTAACACGGCTTCTCCCCAATAAGAACTAGGAACAGATGTCTGGAAAAGTAGTTCTCTAGCAACTTCAAGAAAGTGACGATTTTTTCTTTCAGCAACCCCGTTTTGTTGAGGGGTATCAACACATGTGAGCTCATGAATCATACCTCTGTCTGAAATGAATTGCAACAGGCATTGGTTGACGTACTCAGTACCATTATCAGATCTTAGTCTTTTAATACACTTACCAAACTGAGTCTCAACCATGTGATGAAATCGAATAAATATCTATGGTACTTCAGACTTGTCTTTCATCAAGAATATCCATGTTACCCGAGTACAATCGTCAATAAAAAAAAAACCACCTTGCACCTGAAACACGATGCACTTTAGAAGGGCCCTAAACATCAGAATGGATAAGAGAAAAAGGTTCGCTGCTTTTGATAGTGCTAGAAGGAAATGACACTCGATGGTATTTTGCAAATTCACAAACAGCGCAATGGAAGGTCTCAACTGACTGATTTAGAAACAGAGAAGGAAACATTGACTTCAATAGACTGAATGGTGGATGCCCCAGACGCTTGTGATGGAGCCAAATCATAGACTCTGCAGTAGAAGGATGACGTGTCATTAATAACTGATTTTTGCTATCATTTATAGCATGTTCTGGAAGGAGATAATACAACCCATCCTGCTCATTAGCAACTCCAATTGTCTTCTTCGTGGTAAGATCCTGAATAACACAATGAGAAGGGAAAAAATGTGATAGAACAATTCAAATCAGTTGTAAGTTTTTGAGTGGAGATAAGATTAGTAGAAAGATGAGGAACATAAAGAACATTTTTAAGAAACAAGGAAGGTTGAATTTGAATGTTACCAGAACCAATAACTGATTTATAGGATCCATCAGCTGCAGATATAGTATGACTACCAACAATAGGATGATAAGAAAGAAAAAACTCAGTACGACAAGTCATATGATCAGTTGCACCAGAATCCAAAATTCATGAGGTTTTAAAATCAGTACAAGAAGGTGTTCTTACCAGACAAGATCAAAGAACGGTCAGATGGCTTACACATATTATCAATAGCGGGTTTAAGCTGATCCAACTCCCTTTGCTGAATATTCACACAGAGACATGTGGAGACTGTGTAATAATCGAACCATCTTCTAAATTGGCCATAGTGATAAGAGAGAGTGAAAAATAGCACCAAAAAGCACACAACGTACACCCAAACGACGTCAGATCAGAGACAAAACCAAGCAGAATTTTTTTTTTTGGTGAACAGTACCCGATGAAAAGTACCACGTGAACAGTACCGCGTGAACAGTGCGCGATGAACAGTACCGCGTTTTTTTTTGTGTGTGTGGAGCTATTCTGGTCGTCTGATGAAAAAGAAACCTCCGTAGAATAATAGATCTAAGAAAACAGAGTGAAACAAGGGTCTTCACAGTTCAAAAGGTCCCTGGAAATTTTTTTCCGGCGACGGCTTTGTGGTGGCGAGAGGCAAATAGGGTTTGATTTTTGAAGACGGTGATTTGCGGAAGCAGAGCCCTCAGAATCGAGGCTCTAATACCAACTTGAAAAAAGGGTAATGAAATATATTATTGAATTGTAAATAATCTGTACAAAGGGTTCTCTATTTATAGAGAATACATGACCTAGAATTCTTGACCTAATGGGCTAAGCCCAATACAACAAATAAATAAATAAATAACTATTATTTACAACAATAAGACTTATTACTTTGTCTTTTGCATTACATTATAATATAAAATATTTAGTCTTTATTCTCTCCATCTTTCCTCCTTTTATACCTAAATCATTATTATTTCAACATAGTATTAGAACGGTATCATCTTCAGTACTCGTTCCATCACTATTATGCTTTTGGGTCATGTCACCTTCTTGGCCACCATTGCTCCTTAGTCTGTTGCCACCATCTCCAATTGCCACTTTGTCGTTTTGTCTTCCTAGCAACTTTCTCTTAATCGTTAGCTACTGCCCAAAGACATGTACAATTCTGGCAGCAGTCTAGTGTCTTCTGGCTGCCACCGGCAGCATCTCTAACCACCTTTGCCGGAAAAAATTTCTAGCATCTTTTTTGGCCAGTGACCTCCGAATTTGGAGCAACTCTACCCAGCCAGCGTATCCATTATTGCCCACAGTGATCCAGCCAGCCACACATCCACACACGCCAATTTCATGCTCTGCCCGTCATCGTCTCCAGTGGCCACTCCACTGCACATGAAAATGCATTACACATCATCCCAGCCTCCTCTTCTTGGACCTTGTTCCAATTGCAGTCTGGCCCCATTAATTGTTAGTCCATCACTTACTAGCTTAAATTTTTGGGTTAAAATAGTTCTTTACTGCATTTGTGTTGTCCTTGTCCCAGATATAGTATGGCCCTGCCAATCCTTGACCCAAATGCAATATGGCCCAACCTGTCCTTGTTCTGGTTGCAGTCTAGCCTCGTTGGTCTTTGTCCCATATGCAGTTGGTTATTTTTCCATTTTTTAAAGGACTCATTACAAGCTTAAATCTTAGTAAGGTAAGGCTTGAGGGAGAGTTAAAATATCTAAAAAATATTATATTGTAGGAAATTAGGACTAGAATTTTTCCGCTTTTATTTCCTATTAATTAGTGATTGATTTTTTCCTTTAATAGGAATTTGAATTTTGAATTTGCTTCTATAGATAAGATAGGACTGATGACTCATTGTTGAGTCATTCTTATCCATTTTTTCTTGTATAAATACCCCTTACTAGTGTAAATTGTAAAGAATCAATTTAACTCAAAAGCTTAAGTTATTAGGTAAGGGTCCCTTTAATGGTTTATATTATACTCTAACACGTCTCCTCACAAGAGTGCCCATTGGGCTTGAAAGGTGAATAATGCATCAGGCCCAACCTACCTGTACTAAGAACTTCCTCAAAGAAAATGGGGGGCGGCGAGAATCAAACCCGGGACATCTGGGCTCTGATACAATGTAAAGAACCAATTCAACCTAAAAACTTAAGCTATTAGGTGAGGACCTCTTTAATGGTTTATACTATACTCTAACATAAATCAAAAGTATCAATTCAGAAAAATCTTTGTTTGGTATCTTTCAATATGGTATCAAGAGCGGGTTATTTCCTCCCCTAGATCAGCCATCTTAAAGGCTGGGAACACTGTTCTCGTACCATAAAACACTATCCGACCACTTCCTTAAAACACTCTATGTCAGCTTTAAAAATCAAAAGCCTTTTTTCTTTTTCAGTTCTGTCCCAGCCAAATGGCATTGATTATGAGGAAATATTTGCTCCGGTAGCCAAAATGAACATCTTGAGAGCTTTATCGTCTGTTGCTGCTCACTATAATTGGGACTTAAATCAATTTGACGTGAAGAATGCCTTTCTCAATGGCAAGCTAGAAGATGAGGTTTATATGACGATCCCACTGGGATTTGACTCCACAAATGGAGAAAACAAAGTTTGGAGGTTGAAGAAAGCTTTGTACGAATAGTAATCTCCACGTGCTTGATTTGAGAGATTCACCAAGGTTATGGTATCACTGGGATACAAAAGAGTGAAGAAGATCAAATGCTCTTCTTCAAACACTCCCAAGGAAGTAAGATCACTATTCTCCTGGTTTATGTTCATGATATTATTATCACAGGAGATGATATAATTGAGAAACGCGTTTTGCAAGAAAAATTGACAGGTGAATTTAAAGTCAAAGATCTCGGGAAATTGAGATTCTTCTTTGGGATTGAGATAGCCCATTAATGAGAAGGTATCTTTATATGTCGGAGAAAGTATATCCTTGACCCTCTTAAAGAAGCGGGAAAGCTTAGACGTAAACCTTCTAGTACCTCAATTGAGCAAAATCACAAACTAGGGAGTAAAAAGGAGAAATCTTGTTGACAAAGGACAATACCAACAACTAGAGGGAAGATTGATATATCTTACTCATACTAGACTTGATCTAATGTAGTTAGCATTGTTAGTTAGTTTGTGCATGACCTAAGGGAGAAACACATGTACACAATAAACAAAATTCTCCAATATCTTAAAGCCACTTTAGGTAGAGGACTACTATTTCGGAGAGGGGGACATCTATCCTTGGAAGTATATACTGACGATGATTATGATGGGTCCGTAACGGACCGACGGTCAATCTCAGGCTATTGTATGTTTCTATATGGAAACTTGATAACAAGGAGAAGTTAAAAGTAGAATATGATTGCTAGATTAAGTGCTGAGGAGGAGTTTCAAGCCATGACCCAATTTGTGAATTATAATGGATAAAGATTATTCTAGATGATCACAAAATAAGATGTGAAGGACCTATGAAGTTGTTGTGTGATAATAAATCAACCATCTATATAGCTCACAATCTCGTTCAACACGACAGAACCAAGCATATTGAGATCAACCGTCACTTCGTCAAAGAAAAACTAGACAGCGGAATAATTACTACACCTTATATTCCCTATGGTTGTCAACTAGCTGATGTCTTGACCAAGGCACTTCCCACAGACAGATTTCAAGAACTTATTGACAAGCTGGGAATGATAAACATCAATTCTTCAGCTTGAGGGGGAGTATTGTGAATATTGAAAATTATATGTAATTATTTATTTCCTTTATTAGCCAGATTTGTTTAGGATTTAGACAGTTTATGTTAGGGACTTGTGTTTACTGTTTTAGGCTCATTAGTTTCTCTATAAATATTGTAACCTTGTACATGCTTTCATGAGTATCAATAATATATTCATATTTTCTCCTTTCAAGTTACCATTTTTTCACGTTTCCCAATTGCCATAAGTTTCCCTAAATCACCATTCAATCATTGCATCAACCTGAAAGCTTCATGATCACACAGATATACATTTAGCAAGCCACTTACAAGTTCAAGCACCGGGAGATTACGTAAGTCCCTTGGTAGTGTCATCCTTTTATTGGTATCCTGCATAAATAATTCAATCAGGAAGTTGTGCAAAATACATATTTCAGATTGCAAGTCAGTGATAGAAATTAATCCTGAAATAAATTTATGGTCACAAGTAAGAAGGGACAGGAAATATTAAAATGAGTCACCTCTCTCTTTGTTTCCATCTCAGCAAGTTTGATATAAATGTCAACCATTTGCTTCATCTATATATGTAACACGGACAGTTTTAAGATAATTGATTGAGAATTGAACCTAACAGGAGAAAATATAAAATAAAACAGAGAGTTATATTACTTGTTGTATGATAGCTCCATGATAAGATGACAACTCCTTTAGAAGGTTTTCTGCTGCATGTTTTTTGTCTATATCGACCACAAATGAACTTCTACTACGCTGTTTGTCCTTGATACGGTCACCATTTGCCAGAGCCAGAAGCTAAGTAAAAAACAGATAATTAAAATATTGTTTCATCTGACGATTAATGTTAGTAGCAATGCATTAAAAACACATCCAAAAATTGAAATGAAAAAGAAGAAAAAGGTAAATATACACTTTCACATTGAAAAAAAAATGGCCAGAAAATAATCCCAAATATTACTTTTGAAAATCAAATAAAATGAATTGAAATGGCAAGTAAAACAACTGCTTGAAGACAGATAAAAGGTACGTACTTGAAGTATTGTATGGTATGGATGATCAATGACCATTTTCTTCACAAGAGAAACCAATGCAAACTGCATGGTTCATGTCTATATCAAATAAATGAAAGGAAAAATGAAAAACATTGAAAGGAAGCTTATAGTACTGGTGAAGCCAGAACCTGGAAATTAAGAGGTCCCAGACCATCCTTTGAGCTACCCATTCTAGAAGCAATTTGGTATACTAAAGGTACAAATTTGAAAGATTGAACCTACAAAACACATTCAAATGCAATCAACATACAAAACCCACAAATACAGTCTTGAAAAGGTGAAAAATCACACAAATCAGACTAATTTATTGACAATGGTTTACTGCATACCTCATCAATTGTGCTAAGCATGCTATTTACAACATTTTTTCGAGAAGAAAGACTGAACCACAAGGAAACTATTCGAAACACCTGAAAGAAAATAAACTTGTCAAAGGAAATCAGATCACCTTGCAACACTAACAATGTCTACATATAGTGTATAAGTATGAATCTATAGTAGCGAAGGAAACAGAGAGCAATTACATACCACTCTCACATCATACTTGTCACCTATGACTAAACAACGTTTGTATCCCTCCAATGCCAGACTAAGAAAATTATCCCGGTCATCCTGAGATGTTGAAAGACAGGGTGACTTATATTTACTACATATTATAGTTATGGGGTTGGGACAAGAATAAGGGGAAAAGATGGACTTTCTCTATCAATTTGAAATAGTTAGATTTACGCAACAGACACTGAGATTAAATATAATAGTTAGATTTTCTCTATCTTGCACACACAATTACATAAAAATTCCTAACTGATCAGACAAAATAAATACCTGTAATTTCTGGGCTTCTTCCTTGTCCATTGCTACTTGCTTTTGCAGTTCTTGGATTTTCATGGAGTAGTCAGTTTTCTCCCCCTAAATTATGTAATATATGTGTTAGAGCATCAGAGAATGAGGCAGGGAAAATAAATCTATAGCTACCTTTGTTGAAGTCCTTAATCTTTTTATGAGTGCTTCCAACTCTACTGTCTGCAGCGTCAACAATAACATGATCATAAGCAATAGCATTATCGTCACGTATAAATCCTATTATCTTATAATTTCCCTTAGACTGTTTATTCGAATTAGTCAATTAGGTACCTTATGCTTTCTTAAGCGCATTGCTGCTTGCCACTCATTAGAGTTAAGCCTTTCTTCATGGCTCCTGAATAAAGCATCAGCATAGTGTGCAAGATGAAAATTGGTCTGACATTTCCTTTCCATGGCCTTCTTGCCTGTAGTGTTTGCATCCTCAGCAATAGAGACTGCGGGCTTCAAAAACTTCTCCAAAATTGTTCTTGAGCTGCAATTTTACAGCAAAACAGGGGGAAAATAAGAACTTAGTGAATCAGGCATGAAAAGGAAATATATTATTAAAATGTTACACAGAATGAAGTTTTGTCCAATAACTTGCTAGATCTGGTTTCTGCCAGCCACTTCCCAATCACCCGATATACATCTGAAGCCTCCTCATTGGAATGATAATTTTGTGATATATACATTGCGAGGTTGATAGCCATCTCATTTTGACCTTGAGCACGGAAAAGCTTTGCCTCTTCAAGCTGCCATTTCGAAGTTATATTAATCAGATATACTTGGCACGGATGATAACAGTAATACTACTGCTGACTCATTTTTAAGCAAAGTCTAAGCAAACAAGCATAAAACAATTTGTTGCATTAAATTTGTAGTATTTAACACTTATAATGGACAACAATCCCATTCTACCAAGCTTGGTCTTATAAAGCACATAGCATAAGAGTGTTTGGATAGAGAATTTTATGGAGGGAATGTAATGTTTTAGGGGATTTGAAATAATTTGCACTAAAATTTATTTTTTGGATATCTGATCAAAGAGTCTTAAAATTTATGCAGCATTTTTATTGGTGATTTTATTATAAAATAGAGGGAATATGAAATACAGTATCAAGATGTGGAAATTGTGAAATCCTCTGAACTCTTCATTAAGCATGCATTCATGCCTCCCTCTCGCTCTCTGCTTCATCATTCAGGACAGAGGTGGTGTAGTTGTCCCTCTTTTTCCAGAGCATTTATACCTCCTCTCTCTCTCTCTCTCTCTCTCTCTCTCTCTCTCTCTCTCTCTCTCTCAATCATCAGAGGTCAAATTCATATCTTGTTACTGAAGCTTTGGCTTCTCTTTGTAAGGCCCACACATTGATCAAATTCCATAACCGAATTTTTCATTTGTTATAGCATGAACAAAGCCAATACGTTCTCGCCTGTTTCTTCTCATTGTAATGAAATTTTGATTTCAATAGGAATTATCCAACAAATGATTTTAAAAATTGAAGTATTTGAATAGCAGAAATTCAATTTCTCTATAGATCAAATTTCCCTGTTTTTTAAATTGGTCAATCAAAACACAACCTAATAGTTTAGGAAAATAATTTCCCACATAAAAAGAAAAACAATTGCTTGTCACACTTGATATGCAATCATATTTCAAATTCATTTTCATCTAAAGTGTGGTTCGGTGAATTTGTGCTCTAGTGCAAAAGCACGAAACTACTATTCTTGAGAATTCATGTTGAGGAAAACTGCAGCTGTCGATCTCCAGATACAAGCATACACAAAGCCATACCAGCCCCCTTACCCGTCCTATCCAATATAAGGATGAATATTGCCCTTTGGTTTCAACAGAAAGGAACTTAAACTCATGCAAAGCAGCGGCTGCTTGAGAGAACCTAGATCCCTGTAAAATGGAGAATAGCATATAAGAAAAATAAACTGGAATTGAATTATGACTTTATGATAATTGTCAAGGATCAACTCTCCTAAAAGTTTAAACTGTTACCTAGAGGCCTAATAATAAATTCATACATGTAATATACCCTCTTACGCAAGAGCCTTGAGCTTGTAGTGTGAACACACAATGCGCAGGCCTACTTTATGAGCTAAAATTTAATTTTAATTAGTATGGCAATGGCAAGGATTAGATTCCTCACCACCTGGTTAAAAAGGCTCTAAGCTCTTGTAACATGTCAAGGACTAAATCTCCCAAAAGCTTAAGTTATTAAGAGGAGGCTTATTATTAACAATGGTGATATACCTTACGAAGTGTGGTGGTGGACGTCAGAAGATGCTGCAACATACAATCTCTACAACTTAAAATTTGAAGTAGCACTCGTCGAAATGCTATAAATGGTTCTAGCAAATTCATATGCAGTTGTGTCCGTTGCAAAATTGAGGACCAATCCATATCCAGCCATGACAACTAGTTGCCAATAAAAATAGACGAAGACATCAAAAACAATGAAAAGAAATATTCTGAAAGATACCTGTTTAATGGAAGGAATCACTGGCTGAGTTCTACAATATATTGTAGACAGTGAAAAAAATGTTTCTGCCTTGCAGGGCCCAGATACACTAGATACCTGTTTAATGGAAGGAATCACTGGCTCAAGAGACACATTTTGCTTCTGCAGACAGAACATTGTGCTATTATCTTGAAAAGTGGTCCAGCGTAAATCCCAAGCAATGGCAAGATGATAAAGCATCTGTCAAAATGATCATAATATTATAGATAAAAAGGAAAACAACCTCACAAACTTACTTTTTTAAATAAATATATATATAAGCATAAAACATTCTTTAATGAATCAAAAGGCTACTGACGATTGAAATTCTACAAATTTCTAGAGCTAATAAAGTTCGTTATAAATTTAAGTAACTTCAGGTAATCAAGCATTTCTAAAATTTAATTTTGTTTGCAATTTTTGAAACTATTCGGATTTAGGTAAGAAAAGAAGAAAAGAGAGAATAAAGATTAAATAATATTAAATTGGTATTAACTTGATGTGGTATTGATATGATAAGAGCTACAAAGCATTATCCCTATTTGTACTAATGCTATCCTAATTAGATACAGAAAGGAAAGGAAACTATTCTTAAAAGATCATATAAGATACCTTAAACTACTCTATGATATATCCAAAAAATTATATGACATTTTTCATATATGTTAATACTCCCCCTCAAGATAAAACTAAGTTTTAAGCTTGTTACAAATGACCTTTTGAAAAACTCAAAGTTAACCAAGAGAAAGACTGCCCCAATTGCATATGTGGCTAGTCCACATCAAAGACATGAGTCAGAGTGCATGTCTTGGACAAAGTCCGGCGTGTCCAAACCACATTTGAGACAAAGACAAGGGCAAGAATGCATCCGAGACAAAGATGAGCAGGGCTTAGTGATGTGCAAAAGAACCAAAAAACTAAACTGAACTGTGAGCTGAACTGCAGTTAATAAAAACTGATTTTTGAAAAACCAGTTCATGAACTGAACTGGTTTTCAAAACCAGTTTAAAAAATGAACTAGTTCAAAAAACCATGAACCGATTTGTTTTTTTTTCTTCTTCTCTTATTTTTTATTTTTTTTCTCTCTATTTTTCCTTATTTATTTTGGTCCTTCTTTTATCTTTATTTTTAATACTTTATTTTTTTAAGTTTTTTATTTCTCTTTTTCTTTTATTTTCTTTTTTCTATTATGTATTTTTCTCTTTTATTTTTACTTTATTTTATTTTTTTTCTTTTATTTTTACTCTCTTTTATTTTTACTTTAGTTTTTTTATTTCTTTTTAAGTTTGCAAAAGAACCACGGAAAACACTACACTTAAAAAATTGAATTTTTACAAACGAATTTTTAAACTGAACTACTTTTAAAAATTAGTTCTTGAACTGAAAACTAGTTCATGAATCGAACTAGTTTTTTTCCTCTTTTTATTTATTTTTCTTCTCTCTCTCTATTTCTCTTCTCTTTGTAGGAAATTAGGATTAGAATCTTTCCACTTTTATTCCTTATTAATTAATGATTAGATAGGATAGGGCTGATGACTCATTACTGAGTCATTCTTATCCATTTTTTCTGATTTACTCTTGTATATATACTCCCATCAATGTAAATCAGTGTGTATCAATTAAGAAAAAACCAATTTTTTCATATTTAAACATGGTATCGAGCAGGTTGGTCCTGAGAAAGCCTAGCCACCACAACCACCATCAAACTCGTAGCACATCGCTGGAAAACTCAAAGTCCAGCCATTGTTAAAGTTGTTGTCTCTTCCTACAAAGCCCTAACAACAAAGTAAGGGGACCAGTCACTCTAGAAGGCCAAAACTGGTCGAATCCCAGTCATTCACCGTCGTCAGCGGCCGCCGAAAAATATTTTAGGCGACTTATCCGGCCAATACTTATACCATCGAAATTATAATAAGCCGATTTATAAGTTCCAAGAAGGCCCACCAGAGTCTGACCACCCACGCGCTTCCACGCGCCTAAAACAGCTCTGCAGGCCTGTCTCACACGCCCCCACTCGTCGTTGTTCTTCACATGTAAGCCACGCGCCGTCGTGCTAGTTCCTGTTCCGATCCGTACTGGTGTCATTTGATTAGTCTTCTTCTCCTCTATTTTGTCTAGGGTTCAAATCGATGATTGGAAACATTTTTTTTTCTGGGTAACCTTGTCTTCTATCATATTGATGGCCAAGTGTGAACCTTGCCATGAAAAAGACATGGCAGATTGTCTGATGTATCATGGAGATGTTGTACCCAAATATGTGAATGCTGGTGTTGAAACAATCAAAGCCAAGGGGACCATTCAGTGTGAATTGCGAATGGATTGGATACTATGTGACGGCAAGCTTCATGGCAGTGTTCGTGGTGGAGGTGGCATTGAGCTATGTGAAACTCAGGATGGAGTTGGTAGTTGAAGAGTGTTATAAGCTACTCCAGTATTGGAAATAACAAACAATAGTTCATGTAGCATTGGAAACAATAGGAATTATAGGTGTTACTCTCTTGCTATGTTGCTCTTTGATCTCGGATAATGTTACCTTCTTTGAGTCAATTCCCTTTTTCGAGTCTACTTCATTCACTCTTGAGTTCATCTCTATTGCTTTACATCTTTCGTCTTCCATTGAGTTGACACCACAACTCCAATTTACACCAACTTAGGATGACCAGGCTTTTATTCGCCTTATATAGGCCTATTATCGTTAGCCACTTCCAAATTCACCGCTTGAGATTGTCTCAGCTATTGCTGTAAATGAGGTCCATGCGGACTCTATTCCAGCACCTTCTTCGCCTCTTGCTCCGATCTTACCTTCTGACATGAACCTATCCATTGCTCTCTGCAAAGGAATTCTATCTACTTGTAATCCCTATCCCAATTGTTGTTTTGAGTTATCATTGTCTACCTTTCTCACATTTTTCTTGTCTTTCTTCCATGTCTCTTGTGTTTATTCTTATGATTGCAGGCGAGGCTTTATCCCAATGAGCAACAGGCTATATTTGATGAAATGTGTGTAATTCAAGTAGTGATATTTGGGATCTCATTCTTTTTCCTCTTGGGAAGTCCATTGTCGGATGTCAATAGATATTCACCGTTAAGGTCAGACCTGATGGTTAAGTGAATCGTCTCAAGGTTTGTTTAGTGGAAAAAAAGAATACATTTTCAGGCTTGATTACGGGGACACCTTCCCAGTGGCGAAAATGGCATTTGCTCGCCTGTTTTTATGAGTTCTATTCATCATTACCTCTTTATCAACTGAATACCAAGAAGGCTTTTCTCCATGATGATTTGTTTGAGTAAGTTTGTATAAAGCAATCTCTTAGATTTGTTGTTCAAGGGGAGTCTTGTGGCCTACTTTATCTCTCCGCAAATCTCTATATGGACTTAAACAATCTCCAAGAGCTTGGTTTAGAAGATTTAGCACTATTGTTAAAACAATTTGGTTTGACATTGGTGGTATCGAGAAACAAATAGGTTCGGCTGATATGGGGTTCCATGGAATTGGTCAACCACGCTATTATCAAGGAGTTATTAATCTCCCAATTTTCATAACCAAGAGCATCTTGGCAGGTTTTTTAATCTTCCCGTTGAAATAACCCATCTTACCCTTTTCCTAGATGACCAACTTTTTGCAGGAAATTCTTACTGTTACACTGGTGACTAGTGATCTGCATGGCTAAGTTGTCTCCAGAGGATTGAGTATTGGGGGAAGACGAGGAAGCGTAAGAACGATCCGAGGAAGCCATGAATGAAGAGAGAGGGTAGAACTGTAATATTCTAGAAAAATAATAGTAATTTATAATACAATAAATTAATAATAGTAATAAATTATAAATTAGTAATAATAATAATAATGTGTGTGTGTTGTTTGAATTATTAATTGATTGATTATTTATGCATTAATGTTTGATTAGTAATTTGATTAGATATGATGAGTTAGCATTCAGTCAATAATGAGTTAGTAATGAGTTAGCGATATTCTGAGCCATAAGAAATTAAGAATAAAAAGGAAATAGTGTATGAAGCCAATATCTGAGCCAGATACATCAATGAAGAATAAGGAAATGATTGCATGAAACCCATATCCGAGCCCAAAACTTCAACTATAAATAGAGGCTTAGCCTAACCAAACCAATTCACTTTTCAACATTTCTCCTCTACTCTTCTTCTCCTCTACTACTCTCTCTCTTCTTACTTCAAAAGCTTATTTTATTTTTATATTCTTTTGGTTACCAACCGATACTTTGCCCCAAATTATTCTTTTTCTTCTAGAAGTTAGCGAAAACGAAGGCCAGGTAATCTTAATCCCTATGTTCTCTTAGAATATTTTTGTATATGAAATTTGGAGTTCCTAGGTTCCCTTAGCTTAATTTTTTTTATATATATATATGAAAATTTGTATATGTAATCCTAATCCCTAAAAAATTTTAGGATGGTTTCATTTCAAAAATGTAATTCTTAGGGTATTTAAATTAATTTTTTTTTAAACTTTAGGAATTAATAGGATAAATTGGTATTAATAATTGAATTAAATATAATTATTTAAATTAAATTTTAACCCTTTAATGATAATAAATAGAAATAATTGGATTATTTGATGGATATGATTGAATTATGAATATTGATATGATTGGATTTGAATTTTATTTTAATAGATGCTTGAATGATGATATGATTTGGGCCCTACTAGTTATTGAATATTTGGATTATGATTTGAAAAATTATGATATGATTGGATAATGAAAATTTTGATATTCTTGGACAATTGAAATTATACTCTTTATTAAATTGATGAGGAAATTTTCCAATTATAAGAATTGTGACAAGATTGAACTTTGATGATTGTGTGTAATTGTAATTAATTAATTAGTGGGAGGATAGCTTTGGGATGATACTTCCTAAAGTGATGAACACAACCTTTGGTCTTTATACCTCCAATATATTTATACGATGTGAACAGATATTATCCGTTCTTCCCAAAATGGTGTCTGACAGGGTTTTCCGGGATACTAGTAGCAACTTTGGGAGAAGGTGTGCACACTAGGAAAAAATGTTTTGATTATGACCAATTTGATTATTTGTGACTGACAGGGGTTTCCCGGGTCACAGGGTAGACTGGCAGGGTTTTCCGGATCTACCATGGTTCTCTTCCCACTAAAGAAATTTAATAAAGATAATTTATAATAATAGATTTAATTATATATGATGAATATTGAATTACTATTTGAGTTAGCTGTTATTTGATTTCATCTTTTATATTAAGTTATATGTTTGTTTTTGATTAAGATTACCAGCCCTGCTGACTTTTGTGTTTGCGTTTGTTTGACTGAAATGATCCTTCGGGGGAGCAGACTTTAGTGAAACAGGTTCTAAAGGCAGTGAGGATAACGACTCAGATATTTCTAGCTAGCTCTAGGGTTTAAATTTTTTTTTTTTGAGCTTCAATAAATATATAAGATATATTTCTTTTATTGAACTTAGTCTTTACTTTTATTTTTTTATTCTTTTGTTGTAATAAATTTTAGCCTTGCGCTTGTCCATAGTACAAGTGCGGCGATAACATTTCCCAAATTTGGTTATTTTGAATTTTGCAGTTATTTATAAAATTATTATTATTATTATAATTTGTTAGAAATTTGGGGTGTTACAAGAACCAATTGTGTGAGATTCAATGAACAGTGTCTCCGGCGATGAACAATGTTTCTGGCGTGAATAGTGTTCTGAACAGTGCATGTTTGGCTGGGACATAGCAGAAAAATAAAAAAATGAAGGGCTTTTCATTTTTAGAGCTAGGACGGGAATAGTGTTCCCAGCTTTGAAGATGGCTGATCTAGGGGAGGAACGAACCCGGTCTTGATACCATATTGAAAGATGTAAAACAAAGGTTTTTCTGAATTGATACATTTGATTTACACTGATAGGAGGTATTTATACAAGAGTAAATGAGAAAAAAATGAATAAGAATGACTCAGCAATGAGTCATCAGCCCTATCCTATTTATAGAAGCAAATTCAAAATTCAAATTCCTATTAAAGGAAAAAATCAATCACTAATTAATAAGAAATAAAAGTGGAAAGATTCTAATCCTAATTTCCTACAATCTCTCTTTTTCTCTGCGTCTTAAAGAATTTCTTCATTTATTAAAAAAGAAGAAGACTAGTTCCTGTTAAGTATCACAATTCAAATGCAGACACCAGCTTTAAATGGTGTCTCACCATCCAAAAGAACTAGTAAAAACCAAATTTTGGGTGTAAAAGCTTATGAATTGGAAAAAATATTCATGGGTGAAAGAACCAGAAGAGTCCAAGGACCATCACTTGGCTTAATTAACGTAGTCTCGACCAGGTTGACCTGAAAACATTAATATTCAACCCAACCCAATTATGTAGGGTAGGATCCAAATAGGTTCACAGATAGTGCTATGAAACATAGATGTAGTGGCAATAGATTTCATGTTAAGGATCAACAAATTGGATGAATAGGTACCTGGAGTTTGATGACAGTCAAGTAAATGTACTCAGTACTCTCTTCACTAGCATGAGAAACAGACCACACAAGCTCCTAGAACACATTAAACATTAATAATTGAATAGTCCTCAAGCACATCAACACAATTGAGGAAACAAATACTACCTGCTTTGAATCCGTAAGTTTTCTCATGAAATCACTCAAATCACCCTCCTGGAGTGCTCTTAAACAACTGAATATAAGAATAATTAGACGCACTTTTCATGAAAAAGACATTTATTTCTATTGGTAGAAATTGACTTTCATTCATAATTGACCAGTGAAAGTGCACTGCATAGATACAATTACAATCCTTAGTACCAAAAACAATTAAAAAAGCAGAGCACTGGTTGTTACTAAAAGTTTGTCAATGTCTTCAACCTAAAAATTCTATTTTAGAAGATATGCCTTCTGATTACATTAATAATTATTCATCAAAAGTAATCAACCATGGACACCATGCAAAACACTCAAAACCATGTCAAAGAAGTAATAGATGGGAATGCAGCCTGGGGCACAAGCCCACTCGAGACCTGTATTTGGTTTCCCCAGCCCCCACTGCAGCATGATTAATAACTAACTAATTGCACAGCACATTTATTGAATCTTAACTAGCCAACATGTTACGCCTATTTACCGGAATGAATACATGTGAATTATCACATAATACTTGAGTCTGTCTGTAAAATAGAGAGCAGAAATAATTTTGCATTCTGGAAAGGAACATTTTTAGAGAGTCATGACTGCACTGCACTATGATTAGTTCAGGCCTTTCCGCTTTGAAGCTCATAAGTCTATTAACCAAGAACAAAAAGGAATTCTTGGTAAAAATATTTGCAGTTTATGAACAATTAAGTACTTGACAGGTCAATGATGTTCATAGGGTGATTAACGAGTAACAATTTATTCCTAAGCAGGATTTATTTTAACCAAGAATTCCTTATTTGTAACTTTTCCACACACACATATTTCAGTAGAAGCTAAAACCAATAGAATGAGCAATTGAAAAATGGATTTCAAATTAAAATCAACATACGAATAAATGTATCCATATTACCTGTGCAAATTTTCATTGAAATGATCATATTTGATATTCTGAGTCGAAGGAGGAAAACTAGCTACTACACATGGTAAAGAGAAATCCCAGTTCCCAGCACGCCAGGCGGATTCATACTGCAATTCAGCAAACTCTAAATCATGCAGAAGCTGGTCTTTGCTTGATGTCAACCCTTGGCAATAGAAGTCGAGTACATGTGTGCAGCCAATCTGCTGCAATGATCTAATCAACCCTTTGTAAGGTCTACTCTGCCTCATCTCATCTACCTCTGAGGCAAAACATGAAGGGTTTGCTGGTCCAGTTTGTTCCAATGACAAACTCCTAGAATTGCCATCTTTTTGTACCGAGACACCTGATCGCACTTGCAAGTCATAATACTCAAGGGCTTTTCCCCAGTTTCCCTCATGCTCGAACGTGATTATTTGAGAAGTCAACTATTATTTAAATCAACCCATATAAACAGAAAATAAGAGATAAAGGCAAAAAAAAAAAAAACATACCAGAGAAATAAAATACATGAGCCTAAATCCACAAAGAAGCAAGGAAAAATATACTATCCCAAAGAAGAGCTCCTCCAAAATGAAGGCTTTTCTTTGGCCAGTGGTTTTCACAGTATTACAATCAAGCTTTCATGGATGACAAGGACTAAAAATCTGTCATCTCATCCCATTGTTTGACGAGTTCTTTGGAAGCTCAACACTAACTGTCATGGTGTCATTTATTCCATAATTGTTGGCTCATTGACTCAGATATACTTGTTTTCTTCTCTGGAAGGAAAGATAAAAAAGTTGTGTAGGTTTTTTCATCCAAATTCAAAACCAACCCATAAAGGATTGTTAGTCACATGTATTGTATTAATGTAAATATTCGTAGTATATAGCTATTGCATTAAATTAACAGTTGCATTGCAGCTGTACAATTTATTGCAATTAGTACAGTAGACTGTGTAAGTCAATTATACCTATGTACTCCAATTCAGATTTCAGAGAGTTTTCCCTCTTGATCCTACTCCCTCTCCCCCTCCACCAACCCCAATTTTACCTGGTATTAGAGCCTATTAGACCAAGAAGTTAAAAGTTTGATCCTTGCAAACTCCATTAAAAAACCACTACCCATTAAACCTCGATTAGTGAGGGTAGGGATGAGGGCAATGTTTGAGAGGGCCTATGCTTCTCTACTATCCGAGCCAGTTTGAGTAACTATGTACATTAGGCACATGGTATATGTGATTTGGTACTTATTGTACAGCTACAAGTAGTGCTGTAAGTCTTGCAGACTAGACAAGGAAGTAGATTTATACAAGTTCTGTGTAGACTATTTAGTCACACAATTTCCTCAACGGCTCCATGTTGAAGACAAAAAGTTTCATTCCTGGGCCTGCAGCATGCTCCCAAAAGGAAAAATCGGTTCTTGGCAACATATTACCCACCACTCGGTTATGAGATAAAGCTACTAGAAGGAAAAATCATGCTCACTAACCTTGTGAGACTGAAGGATTCCATATAAGCTATCAGGTTCATTGATTCTACTGACTGCCGAGACAAGTATTTCAATATGATCTGGCAACTGATGTGCAAGAAGACAAAAAAGATAAAATATGTAAATTAGTTACCGGCATTAATATGAACCTAGGCAATATCCATTAACAGTTTACAAATTCATATATATACCAAGAGTACAAAAATTAAATACTTAAAATAGGGTAACATATAATATACTCCAAGGAAAAAAAAAAACATCCGATACAAAAATATTCAGTACAACTTACCATTTCATTATGGGAGAAATCTGGACCTCCAACTGTCATACAGTTAAAGTGCTCTTCACACCAATGTTCCACATACATCACTGAAGTAAAATATGATCCACAACTCTATAATAGGAAAAGAAGCACAAGCAATCAAAATTTATAAAAACAAAATTAAGAGGAAAAGAAAAAGATAACACTGGAACCTAGACTGAAAACAAGAGAGAAATGAAATGCAGCCAATCTGCCACTTACAACTGCTGACTTAGCGACAAGAAGATAATCAATGGAAAGCCAATACACCTTGGAAGATAAAAGTAAAACATAAATTGTGTTAAATTCAGCCAGAAACAAATATATTGCACTTGACTTATAGGAAACAATGAATTCTATGAATGCAAAAATGAAAATGAGTTGATACTTTCTCCCATGAGGATGGTGACTTTTCCAAGGCACTTGACTCAACTGCAGATTCTCTTGCCTTTGCAGAAGTGGACCGTGCTTTTGAGCTATAACTTGAAGGTCTTGAATTCTGCAAAATCAAACCACATCTATCATTGTTTTTTTTGTAAAGAACCATTTTAGGTGAAGCTCTATTAATAGTTTTTATATTTCTCTAACATGCCCCCCTCACATGAGAGCTCATTGGACTTGAAGGATGAATTATGCATCAAGCCCAACTTATCTGTGCTAAGAAACTCCATAATATTTAACTATTTTTATTAACAGAATGGGGGCGGTGAGGATCGAACTAATGATTACTTAGTCATTGTTAGAATATTAGATATGATACGATTAGATATGATTGGATTCTGTCTTATCCGTAAATATTCTGACTGTATTAGGATTAGGTTTGGGCCTTACACTGTATTAGGATTAGGTTTGGGCCTTACACTTAAGCCCATTAGGGTCTCTATATATTGTAACTCCCTGACACAGATCAATACACAACGTATTCTTTTACATTTAACTTGGTATCAGAGCTATTTCGTTCTGGGAACCCTCGCTTCCGCTTAGAAATCTTGTTCTTCGCTTTAAAACCTAAGCCCACTGCTTAGGAGTCATTTTTTCTTTGTCGTGCGTTCTTCCGGCAAGACATCAAGGACAGTAAGTCCTCTCCAGGCATCTTCTGCACGTGTCCACATCCCCAAACAGTCACCGGAGCCACCATCAGCCACCGTCAGCCACTGTTCAGGCTGCCGGAGTACTTTTCCGGCGAGTTTTCAGTCTGGAATGAACGCGAACAGCACCCTCTCCTCCCGGCGACCTGCTCTGTGGAAGTCCGGCCACCATCGGAGTTGTCACGCTCTCTCACGCGCCTCCAGTCTTCTCTGCGCGTGGGCTTCACGCGCCACCTTCTGCCGGCGCATGAGCACTATTCCGGCGGCTTTTTCCGGCCGGTCTTGGACAGAGAAGCTCGTCTTCTCCTCCTCTTTCTGGATCTGTGGTTGGTTCTTTGTGGGTCTGACTTTTTGTGCGCACCTCTTCTTGATTGGTGATCAGGTTCGTTTCTCTTTATTCGGTTTATATCTTTGTGATTTAATACTATGGCAGCAAACCCTCCAATTCATTCGGAGGTCAAGTCTCCATCTCCTCCTGTGAGAAATTCTCCCAATATCATCTCTACCAATATTGGGTCCATTACCTCTTCAAAATTGAAGGGATCTGTTAATTACAAGAACTGGGCCACCTCTGTTCGAGTTTGGTTCTTTGGACAAGGATATGGGAACCATCTCACGACTAAGTCTACTGATGTCCCTAAGGAGGACAAGTCTGATTGGGAAAAGATTGACAACCAGCTTCTGAGTATCCTCTGGCAATCCATTGATCCGATCGTCTTGGATATCTTTTATTCCTTTCAAACTTGCACTGAAGTATGGGAGGAAGCAAAAAACCTCTACACTAATGATGTTCAGTAACTCTATTTCATCATCTCCCAGTTTATGGAATTGAGCAAATCATCCGACATTCAGATGGAGACATATATTGGCAAGAGTCGCTCTTTGATGCAGGCATATTTGGATATGCTGCCTTACCCTACTGATGCTACTGCATATCGGAAACAGGTGGAACGTCTCTTTATGGTTGCCACACTTTCTGGCCTTCCCGAAGAATATGATAATGTCCGTGATACTATCTTGACTAGTGGGGAGCCTGATCTATCCATGACGTATCAGCGTCTTCTGCATTTGAATAAGAAATCTGCTCCTGCATCGTCTTCTGCTGTTGATTCTACTGCTCTAGTTTCCCGTATTGATTTTCGCGGGAATATTGGAGGTGGATGTGGTCGTGGTAGAGGCCCAGGAGGCCGTGGCCCAGGAGGTCCAGTCAGACGTGGTCAGCGACCTCGTTGTCATTACTGTCAGCAACTTGGTCATTATGAGGAACGCTGCTACACAAAGTATCCTCACATGCGACCTTCTTTTGCTGCTAATATAGCTCAATCGGATACTGCTTCAAATGGTACAGTCTCTCTCTCCTCTGAAGAATATGTAGCATTCCAGGCCCTTCTCAGGAAGTCCTCTCCTCAATCTCAGGCCTCCGCTTCAGAAACTGGTAATCCTGTTGCTTGTGTTTCTCATTCTGCATCACTTGGTCCTTGGATATTTGACTCAGGTGCTACTGATCACCTCTGTGGTAATAAGGAACTCTTTTCTTCCCTTACATATTCTGAAAATTTACCCTCTTTTACTCTTGCTGATGGAACTAAGGCCTCCGTTCATGGGATTGGACAAATCTGTCCAACCTCCTCATTGACCTTGACATCTGTCTATTACATTCCTCACATCCCTTATAACTTAATATCTGTTAGTAAATTGATCAATTCTCTTAATTGTATTGTCACATTCTCAAACCAATTTGTTTCTGTGCAGGACCCGGGTACGGGGAAAATGATTGGAGTGGGCCGTGAGTCACGGGGTCTGTTCTACCTTGATGTGCCGAGTCCTTCAGTTGCTTGTTCTCTCACAGAATCTCCACAACTCATCCACAGTCGTCTTGGGCATCCTAGTCTTGCGAAATTGCAGAAGATGATTCCTCTTTTATCCGGTCTTCAACTTTAGATTGTCAGTCATGTCAGCAAGAAAATCACATCCGCTCCTCCTTTGCTAATCGTGTCAATAAGCGAGTTGATGCTCCTTTTTCAATTATTCATTCAGATGTTTGGGGTCCTAGTCGAAGTATGTCTGTTTTAAGGTTTCGGTATTTTGTTACCTTTATTGATGATTTCTCCCGTTGTACTTGGATTTATTTAATGAAAAACCGTTCTGAGTTGTTTTCTATTTATCAAAGGTTTTCTGCTAAAATTCATACTCAATTTGGTGCTTCTATTCGTATTTTACGTAGTGATAATGCTAAGGAATATGTTTCTGTTGACTTTTCTCATTTCTTAGCCACACAGGGTACTTTACACCAAACCACTTGTCCTCACACTCCACAACAAAATGGAGTAGCTGAACGTAAGAATAGACATCTCATTGAGATTGCCAGGACTCTTCTTATTCACATGCATGTTCCTCTTCACTTCTGGGCTGATGCAGTCCTTGCTTCTTGCTTTCTCATCAACCGCATGCCTTCATCTGTGCTTAATAATGATATTCCTCATAACTTATTGTTTCCGGATGTTCCTCTCTTTCCTCTATCCCCACATGTTTTTGGTTGTACCTGTTTTGTTCATGATCTCACTCCTGGTAAGGATAAGTTAACATCCAAAGCCTTTAAATGCATTTTTCTTGGTTATTCTCGTCTTCAAAGGGTTATCGCTGTTACTCTCCTGATCTCAAGCGTTACTTAGTTTCCGCTGATGTCACATTTCTTGATCAACAACCCTTTAATTCTATCCCATCTCCATCAGGTTGATCATGTTCTTCCTGTTCCTTTTCTTGACTTGTCTTTGCCAGATGCAGGTGCTTCTACTCCAGATAAGCAATCACCTATTGCTCCAGTACCTGAGAACCGTCCACTTCTCACTTATCAGCGTCGTAACACAGTACCTCCAGTCGACTCGACCCCTGCTGACTCATTGCCCCCTGCAGTTGATTCTTCCCATCCGGATCCTTCACCAGAGGCTCTTCCCATTGCTCAAAGAAAAGGTACACGTACTACTCGTAACCCTTATCCTCTTTATACCTTCTTGAGCTATGATCGTCTTTCTCCTCCTCATTTCACCTTTGTTTCTAGTCTTTCTTCTGTTTCTATTCCTAAGACCACAGGTGAAGCACTTTGCCATCCAGGATGGCGCCAAGCGATGCTTGATGAGATGACCGCACTTCATACCAATGGCACTTGGGACCTTGTTTATGCTCCTCCAGAGAAGTCTATAGTTGGTT